TGATTTTAATTTGTTTTTTCGGCAAATCTATTTTATTTTTCTTACCTTGATTTTCTTTAATGTCTGGTGTTTCTGATGAAATAACTAATGTTTCACTAGTAGAAACTGGAACAGGTGCATTTATATCTGTTTTAACAATTTTTCGAGCTTGAATTTGATGTTTTGTTTCAGCTAATGTAAATATATGATCAGTATCAAAACGAACGATTGGTTCTGTTGCTAAATTTGAACATGAACGAGATGATCGAATCATTCTTGGAAGTATTCGAAATTCTTCACTACGATCTATTGTTGATGGTAGACGTTCAAGTGATTTATATGGTCTTATAATAGGAATGATTGTTTCTTGATCAATAAATGTATTTCGTTCACTAATATTTGTAACCATTCGACTAAATTCACCGGTTGCTGTTGTACTTTCATCTTCATCATCACTAGTACCTTTAGCAGTAGCAGAGGTATATTGAGCAAAAAGACGTTCTTTTACACGACGTGGATGAATATACATTTTTGGTGGTGCTGGTGTCCATAAACGAACTAAATATGGATCATGAGTAATAGCAGAAGTGCCTTCAATTTCTGGTTGAACTAATTTAGCAGCACGATTTTGCCATATATTAAGATCAGTATCTAATGAGACTAAATTATCAAAGGGAATCGAAGGAGTACCAGATTGATTGGGTTTTGCACTAAAAATAAATTGTAAATCTAATGAAATGTAATTGAATAACTATAAACTTACACTCTTGGTCTATTTACTTGATCTTCAATTGTCTCTTTAGCGGGAAAGTTTGGTAATTGTCCATGTTTATGATAAGTTGAAGTAAATGGTAATTTATGTCGAAATCGAGCACGTTGATGATATAATTGAGTAATAGCACGTATTTCTTTTGGCATAACATCCGCTTCATCAACCATTTGAATACAAAAATGATGAACATTCTTTTCTGTATTTTTAACAGGTTTAGTTTCTCTTCGTTGATTTTTTTTTATTAATGTTGATGGAACATTTATTTGCGTACCACGTACATTTAATATATCTTCATTTGAAATTCCTAATAACATATGACGATAGAGTGGATCTTGTGTTATATCAATTTCTTCATCTTCATCTCCTGATTCATTTGTACCAATAGTTTTATCTCGTTCATCAATATCTTCCTCTTCATATTCATCTTCATCTTCCTCTACTATTACTTCTCCATGATCCTGATCATATTCAGTGTCAACACCTATTCGATTCGGATCTGATACTAATGATGTGATAGTTGTATTTTCTTCATTAAGCATAGATATTCTTGATTCTTCTTCAGCAAGTATTCTTTGTTGTTCAAGTTCTTGTTGAATTTTTTCTTGTTCATCTTCATCATATACAAGATCTATTGTTCTACCAAGTACACGATGTATAATATCAAGAATTTTACGATCTGATTGTCGTTGTGTTTCTTGTAACTGTTTAGATTTTATTGATGCTATTAAATTTTCAACTGCTACACGTGTTATATCATCACCGCCTGTTGTTGATGATTGTTGTTGAGTACTTGAACCACTTACTGATGTGACAACAGATCTAATGATAAGACTTTTTTTTTCAAAAAGAACATAAATAACTAAATTTTTCTCTTACGGTTCTTTATCTGAGAATCGACTTTGTGATCTTATTGGTTTACCAGTTGTTTTACTTAATAATTGAGCTTCTCTAACCATACGATTAATTAAAGATCGTGGTGTATCTCGATCTGATGTATTATTATTGTCGGTAACTACAACAATATCAATTTTTCGTTTTTTTATTACTGGTCTATGTATAATTGGTTTTATTAATGGTTGTCTTTCTTGAAGTAGAGCAGTATGTGTTGTACCAACAATTGGTAAAATAGCTGGTAATGGTTCTCGACGTTCAACTATATTACCTTGATTTATTTCTGATAATGGTAAGAGACGTCTAGGTGTAGTGGGTGTATTAGCACCAGCACGACTACTTGTAAAATCATCATCATCATCACTAATATCTGTTGGCATAACTGATCGTCCACGTAAATGAACTAAATTTAATTCGGGTATTGATTCACTAGAACGCATTGGTAAAACACCCATTGTACTTTTAATTGGTCGTGATTTTAATTCATTGGTGGTAGTATTCATATAAGATTGTTTCATCGATGGTGAATCAACCATTTTTTAATTGTATGTTCAAAATTTTAATGTTTAGAAGTATGTATGGTAGTAACAGCAGCAATGTGTGTGCAAGAAGAGATCATTTACAGAATACAATAGAAGAAAAGAGAAGGTGAAGAACAGAACAAACAGGAGTTCTCACTATTTTTTTACTCGTTTCTATTTTGAATTAAATTCTCTCTTTCACTTGCTGCTGCTACTGCCAACGAGTTAAGAATATGATTGTAAACAGCAACGACAGAACATAAGAAAAAAGAAATCGTATGGTGATTGAAGTAAAGAAGAAAAAAGAAAAAAATAAGATCATTTTAATGAACATAACAAATGAAAGTTATCGACTTTATTTGACAATTAATTGTGAATAAATTATTTATATCTTTCCACTATATGATATTAAATATTTTATGAATGTTTTTTTTTCTTCTGAGGTTATTATTTCGATACATATATCTGATAAGATGATTAAAATGTATTATATCTTTCATTTATTGATATTCAGTAAATCTATGAAAGAGTTCTAATTAAATCAGCTTTTAAATTACGAAAAATCAATCAATATTATACACTTATATTCTTTTATTACATCGTTTAGTTAAGTTAATTCAAAAATTTTCTTTAATGAATCTTGAACCTTGAACATTCATCAGTTTCAACATATTTTATGCATGTTAAGCATGGAGTATTTATGTTTCGGTTTTGAATACCTTTTCATACATTAACAAACACTTATAATATTTGCGCAAACCAATTTATGATATATGTAGTACTTGCGATACCATTCAAGTAACCAAGTTCATACATAAACAGTGCTTTGATGACCTTTTTCTATTCTCTAATTATGAATATGATGAAATCTTACAATTCATCTATTGAACTATTCATATCTAATATAGCTGAGCATTTATGAGAGATATTTTTTTTCCAGATCGAAAATCAACAGAAGACGATTATCCAAAAATTAATGAAAGAAAAAAAAAAGGACAAAATACGCTAGAATAATCATTCAATTATGAATAGCATAAAATCGGAGGACATAACTGTATATAAAAATAACAAATAGCAAGGTCAACAAAAAAAAAGTGTCGGCAAGAAGAAAATAAACAATGAGAGTCTTCAGAAAAAAGAATATTATTCACGGTATGAGATAAAAACGATGTGGCAACTAGATATGGATAACATTTTTCTTTATGATGTAACAAAAATTCTATCTAATATATCTTATATAGATCGTAGAAATGTTTATTGACTGTATTTGAGCGACATCCATGATCTTTTCATTGATTTATTTAAGAGAATTATTTTTAATAATTTCTCAATAATAAATTAATTATTAGAATATTTCTATAGAATAAAATTTGAATCAGTTTCAAACAAATAAGATTGGTCAATTAGTTCATTCAGTAATTATTCATGATCATAGAATCCACATTTAAATTTCTTTTGGCAGTAAGAACCAGTCAGCTGTTATTAGATTTATATATGTTTAGTAGGGGTAACACATTCGAAATAAATAATTTCTTTCTTTCGTATCTATTTCGTAATTAATATATTTTATGTACTAAATTATTTTCGTATAAAGAAAAAAATTATGTACAATTTTATATTAATTAAACAAGTTCTTTCATTCATTAATAATAACAAGTAATAATATCGTCGCTCTCTCACAAATGTAAACATATGTATTTGCGCGTTTACACTTTTTGTATATCAGATTGACCCATACCGGAAGTGCAACGCAGCAACGACACTAACGACGATAGACACATAAAGCAAAGAGAGAACAAATCATATTGTCAATTTTTTCTTCCTTTTTTTCTCTTTCTCTCTCTCTCTCTCTCTCTCTGTGTCCCTTTCTTCTTTTCAGGGTGATAGCACACAAAAAAACCGAGGCGAAAAGAAGAAAGAAGCAGCCTATAGACCAACATCATTATCGACGACACCGTCATACGCGAAGCTCTCACCATCTTGCTTCGCGATCAGATCACTTACATACATATATATATATATATAAATATATATATCGACTGCGTCTTCTTCGTTGTCGTCAAAAAGTTTATTACTTAAATCATTGCTTCTTATTCGATATTTTTTTCTTCGCATCTTATTATATTACCTTCATTTACAATTATTAGCTTGTCGACTGTATCCTCCCAACATCTCTTATCTGATTGTATAAAAAATACAGAGAAAGGTAAATAATTATTGTTTAAATAAAAGAAAAGCGCGTTTAATTATGATACTATTATATAAATAAATTCTTATATATTTATGATCGATTAATAGGAGAAAATGGCATTGATCTATGTATTTTCTCGTTCTTGTGAACAGAGAAGCACTTTTTATATAGATGGAAATACTTGTACATATACATATATGTATGTATAAATGTCTTATATAGAAGTAGCTGTAAGCAAGTCAACATAAAAGCGAAGAAAAGAGAACGAAAGAAGTGCGTGTATATATGTACAACTAATCTTCTACTAGCAGTTATCTCATGCACGCCACCATACGTAGTCGGTCTTTGTCGTTATTATATATATTATCCATTTCTATTTTCTATTATCGTTCGATAGAAGTGAACGAATGAAAGAGAAGAGAGAAAAAAGAAGGTCAAAATAAATACGAGAGATCTTTAATTGATATATGTATATCGGCAACTGTCATTAAGTGAGACGGCGATAAACTTTATCGTTCATCCGTGACCAATTTAAGCTTTTTAACTAAAGTTTATATGTGTGTTCGTACATTTCATATTTTACTTTTTCTTTATCGGTCTAAAATTTGGCAAGACTATGTCGTCTTTATTATTACAGGAGGAGGAGATGGCTTCAATGCCGACGACACCTAATACAACTACACCGCCTCCACTATCGACGACAACGACAACGCCAATTCCGGCCCCTGTGGCATCTGCCGAGAAGACGCATGGAATAGCAATCGATGAGCCGTCGGCAAGTTTATCTCATTTTTTTTGCTATTCTCATTTATTTATTTATTTATTTATTTATGTTTAATCAGGTGGCTCATCAAGCCATTCTATTTATTCTCGATGTGCTCATTCGTAACAATCAAGCCATGCCTATTGTGAAGCTTTACGATAGCTTCGCTGATCGAACATTTACACCACAAATGTTACGTGCTGTCGGTGGCAATGAGCAAGGATTACAACAATTCTTGCTTCGCTATCCATCATTATTCACTGTAAACAATGATACTGTATCAGCAAATAGTGCCACACCAGTACGTACATTAAATTCATCATCAAAAACTCATCACAATCGATTAAAACCAACAGCATCACCCGCCTCGAGTAGCGAGGCGAGTGAAAATGATCTTATGACAACATCAGTAACGACTACTACGAATAATAATGAAACAGTATGGGATGCAAAGACAATGCGTGAAATTGAACAAGAAGCAATAAATTTTTTTAAAAAACAACTATCAAAACGTGAAGAAGAATGGTTACCAGTTGTTAGTGTTGCTGGACATGCATCTCAAGCATCAGCAGATGTTAGAAAATATGTTGGACCTCAAAATGAATTTAAAATATTTCTTTTACGTTATCCAAATATATTTGCTGTTCGTGATGAATTTTGTGGTCTTAAAGTAAGAAAGAAAAGTTTTAATCTTTTAATTCAATATTATTAATTTTATTTCAGGGTAAAGCTGATCTACCTGGTATACCATTTCCACCACCATCTCCGCCACCAAAACGACGTGCAACATTAACAACTCCTATTGGAAATAATTCAATGTTAACACGTTCAACATCATTTAAATCAAGTATACGACCAATGATAGGTGGTAATTCAATGCCAAGTACACCGACAAGTGGAACAAGTTCATCAATATTACTTTCGTCAACATCATCAGCAACACGAAATACAACACAACGTTTAACACCAAATGAAGTTAAAGCTGTTCATTATGTTATGCGTTTATTACATAAAAACGGTCGTATATTACTTCAAAGTGTACCGAGTTTAATAGCTCGTGCACCTGATCATTTAGCACAACTAATTGGTTTTACACGTGATGATTTAATATTATTTTTTAAACGTCATAATGCTGTTTTTCAGTTACATACTGATGGAACTGTTAGTGTTAAATCTGATGCTGTACGAGCATTATTAAATAAAAATGATGCAAATAATAATAATAATAATATTAACAACAACAACAACAATAACAACAATAGTTTACAAACATCATCATCATCAACACAATTATCTCAACAATTAGCAAATTCAATAACTGCAGCAGGTGTTGTTATAAGAATTTTTCCTAAATATGGAATATTAAATATGGATAATAATGAACAAGTGTTTTTTGATATTCAGTCATGTCATTTTGAAACATTTAGTGATCTGACTTGTGTTGTTAATCCCGGCGACTCTATGAACTTTAATGCTATACTTGGTCCAAAAGAAGGTAAATCTAAGTTTTATTTATTATTTGAAAATAATAATCGTTCATAAACTCTCAACATCATAATTAGATTTAGAGTACGATTTTTTAGATAGTTGTTTTATTTATATATATATATTACTAATCATTCATTTAATTTTCTTTTAATAGGTTCAACTAAATGGAAATCATTAAAAACTTGGCCACGTCAAAATACTCGTCCAAATATTGTACATTCAGCAAGTACAAATAATCTCTCATCAATGACATCAGTTAATGGTGGTTATGTATCACCACCATCATTTGAAAACTATGCAAATTCATCTAATGGATATGCACCCATTGATCAAGATTTAAATGCTTATCAAATAGGAAGTGATTTAAATGGTAGTGGATATGATGAATCAATGGATAATAATAATAATAATGGTGGACAATTATCACCAATAGCATTGATTAATTCAACAAATGTAAATCGACATAGTCGTCTTGGTTTACCAACACTTGATGAAGAACAATGTCCATTACCTAAAATGGTTGGTGGTCTTGATGCTGAAGTTCTTCGTCGTAATTTACAACAAGTTATTCAACGAACAAATGCCATATCATTACGTGAACAAGTAGATGAAACAGGTCGATATGTATCTCAAGGATGTCAAACAACATCAACAGGAGAAATTTTAGCAACAAATATACATATAGAATAATATATATATTTTGTTTTGTTTTTTTTATTTGGGAATGCATTCTTTTCTAGCTAGCAAATGCGTGCATGTGTGCATTTCAGTTCATTTTTATTGCTCGATTTACATACATTGGCTACGGTTTTCGTTCTTTTTTTATATACACAGGCTGTTTTTCTCTCGTCGTTTCTCTCTTTTGTTTTTGGATCTGTCTCTCTTTTTTTTTCTTCTTCTTTCTTGTTTTATACATAAAAGATGTGTGAACACAAAACATTATTCAAAAAAAAACTGATTTTTTATTTATTAAGAAATCATATGATGATCAAGTGACATATAATTATTTCATTAAATGTCAATTCTAACACACTACTTGATATTGATTTAATATGTGTATAATCTATGTTTATACGATGATATAAATATCATACTGATGATGAAAATATCAAATAACATTGATAAGTAAGTTTAGCCTATTTAAATGAGTGTTATGAAGTATCAGATTACACGATAGAGAATTTGTATGCTGACATGAAATCATCACTTGGGTATTACTGATGATCGATAGAATATATGATAATTTTTTTTTCTCGTATCTGATAATAAAATTACTGAAGCATTCAAGAAAAGAATTGGTAACGAAGTGTGTAGATTATTTATTACGATTCATTTAGAGATTTCCAAGACAATAGTTATCAATACGATGCAAAAGATATTATTGATGTAGTTCATCATATAAACATCTGATATGTCTTGAAGTTTTATCGAATAAAATTATTTATACTTGATAAATAGAAGTTATTGTTCATTTTTCCTTACTGATATGATGAAATAAAATCTAAGATATACAATCCATATAATATCTGATTACATCAGAATTATAAATAATGTCAATTATTTCATGTCTATTATTCACGTAATAAATGGGATATATCATATATACATTCTTTTCACATTTTAACGAGAATAATACAAGTATTTGCACCATTTTACATATTTCACATTCTCATGCCAAGCTGATAAATGCATATGTTGAACTTGAGTTTTTATTACAAGAACAAAAGGGTAAATATATATTATTGACGCCTTTTTGAGAAGTTTTTCTAACTGATGATTTATATGCAGTTATCTTATAATAAATATGAATCAACGGGATCGTCGACAGATTAATTGTATATGATTATTTGGTAAGATTATAAAAAGAAATATCATCTATCATAGTATAATGAGACAGCTAATGTTACTATTTTTGTACGATAAAAAGATTCAAGTTCGTCATGCGTCGTATAAATATAAAAGCTAGGTCAATATAAAGACCTTGTACTACCTGATACTATCAGAGAATAAAAATAAATTGATCTACTTAAAATATTATTTATTTTAAAATTTGAATTCATCAACAATAAAAATTTATTTTTAGGTAAATATAGTTTCGAATTTTAATATATAAAGATTTATTTTTCTGAATATAAACTAGATCGTTTTCGATTTTAATTTAAAAAAATTCATGAGACTAATAAATCAATGAAAACGAAAAAGAAAAGTCCTTTTAACGGCTAGCTAATTTGTTCAATGCTTTAGAGAGACCACCACTTTTACGTTTCTCATTTTCTTCAGTAATAGCTGTAGAAACCGCTGATGCTACTTCTGGATTACGTGGTGGTACAGGATTAGAACGTATATATGCATCAATATGTTGAACAATAAAGACAACTTCGGTACTCGCATTAACAATTTGCACAAATACGGCATGAGTCATTTTGTCTGTTGTTTGATCATTTATTTTAAGTATAACATCATTTCCACGAAGTCCACCAACATCAGCTGGACTACCTTCTTCGACACGATGAACAAGATAATAAAGTTTATTGAATTGTAAATGAAAACCAAAACCTTGAAAATCTGGAGAACGATGTAAATGTATTTCATGTAAACCTTCACCACGGTCTGCTGGTGTTGCAACAAAAGTAGGCTCAGCTGGTGGTTCTGGTTCTCGATCTTCTTGAGCATTACGTACATTGTAACTTTCTCCATCATCATTTCCTTGATCGTTTATTGGTATCTCTGGATCTGCTGTTTCTGTGTATGGAGGAGGTGGATTTTGTTCTTGTGAGAATACAGCATTTGGCTCACTAACAGGAGTTGGTTCAGGAGATGAAGTTTGTTCATGAATATTAGCATCATGAGAAGTAGGTTCTTAAAATAAAACAATAGATTCATTCATGATAGAACTTCCTAGTTACTCACTTCCTCGATTCCGTTCAGCAGCTATAGCAGCTCCAACAATATCAGCCATATGCTGAGATTTGGAAGGAGATTTCTGTAATGCATCATGAATTGTATCATCTGACGATGGAGATGATAATTTAGCAGCTAATTGTGGTATTTTTTTACCTAAAAATATATCGAATTAAAATGATCTTCAGATTGTATAATTTTTACTTGATGAAGGTTTTGATTCAGGTGATCCATTTGATGCATGTGTACGTAATATACGTTGTGATGTACCCATAGTTGGGTGTGATGGATATTGTCGAAATCCGGAACTATGTGATGATTGTTGTATATTATCATCTTCATCTTCATCTTCATTAGCTGATGTTTGAGTTTCTTTTGTTACAAGAACCGGTTGTTTTGGATGATGCTGACGGCGACGACGATGATGATGATGATGATGAGGACGATGAGATTCTTGTTTATAATTATCTGTATTCAAATGACGAGATGGAAGTGAATGAGAATCTTTTGAAGATGCTGAATGTCGATTTGATGTTAAAAGAAATTCATTATTATTAGTTGCCGATGGTGATATTTGAATATTTTCATTGGCAAAAAGTGATTTTAGATAACTGAATTAAATCATAGACACCCACTTATTTTCATTTCAGATTAGAATAGAATTACCTTTCAAGATCCAAAGTAGCATTAATAGTTCGTTTTTCTGGACGTTGTGGTTTATTGAGATTATTTTCATAAAGATGCTTAATAGTATTATTATTATTATTTTCTAAAAAACTACTTGCTAATGGCATATCAATTGTTTTAAATATATCTGTTGATTGAACTGTAAGTGTAAAACTTTGAGAATTAACTGCTGCTTTTACAACCATATCCTTCGGATTTTCAGTCATCGATGATACTAATTGTCCATTAACAGCTAGAACACGATCACCTGGTTGTATATTAGCATTAGCTGCGGGTGAATTACGTTCGACCGTAACTACATAAAGTCCTGTAGGTACATCTTCAGCAAGATATAATCCGAAACCATTATGTTCTGGACCTCTCTCTAAAACAACTGTTCGTGTTGTTGACTTTTGACCTGTTGGTGGTATTGATGATAATGAATAATATACAGGATTTGAATGAGTACTCGTTGCCATATCAAAAGTTTTCTTCTTAAAATCGCTATTTTTTCCTCTATCTTTCAAGGTTATATATATGGTATATATATATATATCTCCTATGGTTCGAAATGACGATTATTATTTACTATATGCATGACTGGCCACCATTCGCTTTTTTTTCTTCTTCTTCTTCGTCTTCATCGTTACCTTATGCTTTCTTTCACAATCACACGTTTACTATTTGATAGCTATATAAAATCAAAGTAATAAAGATGGTATAAATATAGTCAAAAGCAATATTTATTATTATTTGTTTAAAACAGATTCATATTTTTCCACCGGTTTATGAAACAAAAAATATAGATATTATCATCATCACTGGTCAATCACTGGATATTGCGGTTTACTAAAAGTAGTATACAATGTTTGTTTAAGTCTTGTTGATTCATGCGTAGAGTGTTTTGATGTAGACATTATAGGTTGATAGTTAAATGATGGTGGACCGTGATAAGATATCGATGATAATGGACACTGTCGATCTAATGAAAATCGATTATATAAAGGTTGTTTTATTACAAATGACATCTTATCATCTGAAATAAATAAGAATAAATACGATTATTTGTTTGTTGTTTTTTTTTGTATCTTTTTATTTTCTGTTTTTTTTTAAAGATAATATGACATTAAATGCAGATTAAAAATAATAGTCTATAAAACATCTGTTGCTTGTAAAACGATCATTGTATATTCTTTTTCTAGAATAAAACAAAAAAATAATATATATAGAGATATCTATATTTACTATAAAAGATTCGTTTTTCTACTTACCGGGTGCAACGAGAACTTCATGTTTTTTAGTACGCATACGAAAGAAAACAAGTTCATTTGTTGGATCAATATCACGAATTGTTGATCGAGCTTTATCCGATAAAGATTTTATTAATGCAGCATATTGTTGCGATAATGCCGTGTCAAGACTTGTACGAATTGGAATACCTAGATAGAAATAAAGAGAAATATTCTTTCAGAAAGAAATCATGCCTGGAAGAAAAGAAAGATGATATTTCCAGTTGCAAGAAAAAAAGAACAATAGCAGTTCTATTGTCTGATTTTTTTTGTGTCGGAAATGAATGAAATATTTTTTGTGTTCAGTCACCATGATATTATTGATGATGAAATAGTATTTGACATTTTATCGAGTTAGTTTAGTCGACTATATGTCATCGATATAACCCTATGAAAAAAATATTTTTGACACTCAATTAATCATAGGCTTTAATTCGCTGTCCATTCAGTACAAGCAATTCTACTTCAAAAATAGACTATACATCTAATGAGGAATCTTTTTAACAAAATATTTATCAGTTCATTAGTAATAAATAGTACGTAAATACTATGACGGAGGCTGTGTGACATTGCTATTAGTTTGTCATTCAATCTTATTTACTTCACTATTATCTTACCATCATTATTTATAATTAAAAAACCATGAACACCTTTATGTTCTTGTATACGTTTTAATGTATCATCAACTTCAGCCTTGAAAAAAATAAAATCCTAATTTTAATCCATAATTATACATTCACAAACCTGTGTCATATTTGAGAATACTATCCTCGATTAATCTAAAATAAATACAACAATGAATTTTTTTTTAAATGTAGAAGAATAAACAAAAGGATTATTTACTGATAAAGAAGAACTTCTTGTTCGAATCGAATATGTATATTGGAATACAATAGATCGATATGTCAAAGAGATATAATAAACAGCTGGCGCTATGTTTATAAAATTATATCGACTAATGGAAACTATATGCGAGATATCAGTGACATCATGAAATAATCATCATGGAAGAGGAATATTAAGGACAAACATGGTAAAATCTAAACCAATCGTAAGTATTAATCAAATTCGATTTTTTTCTATTTTCGACAAAAAAAGAAAATGTTCGACGATAATGAAGATGATACACCAGTAACTTTAACGGTTAATAAAGCTTATGCAAATAAATATGAAACATGGAGAGAAAAAGAAGAAAAACAAAAATGTATAAAAGCATTTTTATACAATGTTATATAATTTTTTTTGGTATTTTTTAGTAATTGCACGATATGGAAGCGATGTTGAAGATGATTCCGATGAAGAATCCGAGGATGAAAATGCTGAAGTAGAATTAAAATCTTTTTTTTGTTAATTATATTTTTATTTGTTAAAATCTTATAGGATTGGACAGAGGATGTGGAAAAAGAATTTCTTCGATGTTATTCTATATTGAAAAAACGTGATCCAAAAATTTATGATTCAAATACAACTTTTTTTAGTACTCCATCATCGTCGGATAATAAAGATGACACACAAAAGAAGAAAAAAGAAAAAAAAATGAATTTAAAAGATGCAGAAATTCAATATGCTCTAGCAGAAGCAAAAAATAATGGAGAAGATAATGACGACGATAATCCTGTTCTGTACGTTATATGACATAGAAAATAAGAATTTATGATAAACCTTTTTTTTTGTATTTAGAAGTAATGGTAAAAGATCGATTATTGAAGAACAAGAAGCAATTAAGAAGAGGTAAACTGGAATAAACTATAAGAATTCATTACACATTATGCATTTAGTATTAAGAAAGTTCTTTCAACAGCAGATGAAGATGATATGTTATTTACAAAGAAAGTCAAAACTGAAGCAGAAAAGGTAAATGATACAGTTGAATTTATATTTAATTTTTATTGAAGGACGTTTTTTAGGCTAAAGAAGATGAAGCTTATATCGAATGGTTAAAAGGACAAAAAAGTGAACTACCTGATTCATCTATGAAAACAGATCTAGTAACTAAATAATTTGTAATTTCTATTTATTTATGTATTTATTTATTTCAAGAAATATCTACATGATTATTGGAACGATCCATCATTATCTGAACGTGATCGATTTTTACGTGATTTTATCTTGAATAAAATGCATCTACGTCATGCTGATGATGATGATGAAGATGATGAAACAAAGTAGAATGATTTATTTATGAATTAAAAGGAAAATTTACTCTAATATATACTTTAGAATTCCATCCTATGATGAAATAGTTAAACAAGACGATGATAGTGATGACGAATTCGAAACTGCTGAAGAATTTGAACGTAAATATAATTTTCGTTATCAGGAACCAGATGCAGAATTTGTATGTTTATTCATTTTTCTTGATTTTTAATTGAATTATAAAATATTTTTAGTTGAAACGTTATCCACGAACAATTGAAGATAGTGTTCGTCGAAAAGATGATAGAAGAAAATTAAAACGTGCAGAAATAAAACAACGAAAAGAACTTGAACGACAACAAAAACAAGAAGAAATCAAACGTTTAAAAAATTTAAAGAAAAAGGAAATTGTTGATAAAATCAAACGTTTAAAAACTGTTGCTGGTGATGAAGATTTACGTCTTAATATCGATGATTTTGATGGAGATTTTGATCCAAAAGAATATGATCGTCGAATGCAAGTAATTAATCAAGATTTCTAATACTTGAAAATTTATTTATGGTTCTCTATAGGAATTATTTAGTGATAATTATTATGAAAAAGGCACAAATGAAGATGATGTACCTGAAGTATCTGATGAAGAACTTCAAGGTATTAAAAAAATGAATCATTTTTCCTTTTCAATACTTGATTTCTTTTTTAGTTGAAGATTGGGATCGTGTGGATGAATCGGCGGTATCAAAACCTGTGCAATCGAATAACCAAGGAGAACAGATAACAAAAAAATCGAAGAAAAAATCAAAATTACGTCAAGCTATTGCTCAATCTAAACCACTATTTGATCCGAGTATGTGTGAAATTTTATATTAAACAAATGAAGTCCATCTTTTTTCTTTTGTTTCAGAGGAAAAAACTTTCGAACAATATTTTGATGAATATTATAAACTTGATTGTGAAGATTTTGTTAGTGATATGCCTGTTAGATTTCAATATCGTCAAGTCGAACCAAATGATTTTGGTTTGAGTATTGAAGAAGTAAGATAAATTTGTATAGGAAAAATACGGATTTATTATTCGAAATTTTTTAGATTCTTTCAGCTGATGATCGAGAACTTAATGCATGGTGTTCATTAAAAAAAACATCGCAATATCGATCAAAAGATGAAGAAATTCGAGATCAACATGTTTTTAAAAATAAAGCAAAGAATTTTGACAAGAAAAGAAAAATCTTATCAAGTATTTACGAAGAAAAAGATGAAAGGTATGGAAAATTTAAAATACTGTTAGATAAAATTTTGAAAGTGAAGGTCCATGTCGATATTTCAATTAAAATGAAAGATACGATTAGTAGATAAAGGAAAAACAAATGCGTAATTATATTTATTGCATTTCATTGAGAAATAATGCTACATATATATATATTCATGAATTAATAAGACAATGTTTTTTTTTTCGTTTTCATTTTAAAGAAAAATTAACATAAAATTTGAGCATTCGTACAATTATGTTTTACAAATATATCACAGTAATGTTTTTATTTTAAATGTTTGTCATTTATTGTATTTTGTGATAAGTGATGACGAACAATTGGTTCGAGATAATGTGGACCAGTTTGAGGACGTTTAATCGATCTTATGAAAATACGTGATAAAATACTAGTAGATTGAGTTTTATGTCTTCTGCTAGGTTTCGATGTTGTCACATTAGTAACAGGAGGTGGTAGTAGTAGTGGTGGTGGTTGTTTAACAAACCATGATTTTAGAGTACTCTTATTTTTTTGTTTTTGATATTCATCAATTTTTCGTTGATCAAAATCATAACGATTTGTCATTAATGCTACTGTTCCTTCTTGACCAAATATAGGAACTACAACATAATGAGGAGTTTGTACAGTAGTAGTAGTTGCTGCTGGTAAATGTTCTACTGAATCACCTCTACCACTATCCGACGTTAATCGTTCTTCAAGCGTTACATTTAAAATATTGCCAGCAGAGTATGATCGCTGAAATCCTGTTGTTATAAATTGTTGATCGGTCACTTTGCGACCTGGACTAGGTGAAGGTAAACGAAGTCCGCCACCACTAAAATATTGATATTTACGTGGCGTCTGAGAAACTACATTTGATGTTTGACAAATATCTTCTGTTGATGTATTTTTGTTATTACAATCTGTCAGTGTACCCGTACTATCAGGTTGATCTTGTGTTATTTGTTTTGATGTATCGATAAGTGATGGGGAAGTATGATAACTATCTTCATCAATAGAAATAGAGTCTGAAAAAAGAAAACAGAAAAAAAAAAATAAATATTTATATATAATGTATCGTATTTTTTTTTCTAAATATACCTGCTGAGTGCCATGAACCAACATGATCGATTGATTTTTGTATAATGCTTTTATGATATAATTGAGAACGGTCACAATTATTCATTGCACACATACAATCTAATAAGTCAATTGAGAGTACGTAGTTGAGAAATTTCTTTGAAACAAAATAGTATCAATAGACGTTAAGGTGAATGAGAAAAAGGAATGTTATACATATGCAAAAATATGAATATGAAAGAAAAAATACGAACGAAAAAAGGTGAATGACAAATGAAATATTTTTTTTTTATACCTTTCTGTCTATGTTGTTATTGACGAATGTCTACACGCATATATTTTGTCATCATAAATATCTTGTTAAAATTATAATAAGATCGAAATTACTCATTCTCTTTCCTTTCTTTTCTTTCTTCGATTTCATTTTTCTTTTCTTTTTTTCGTTTAGTCAAATTCCAAAAGAACAAACATCAAATTCAGATGTTGTACCTTCTACGCAAAATACATCTACATCATCATCGTCGTCAATTGTAACAACAACAAAAAATAAAAAACATAAAAAGAAACATTTATCAGATGATCAACGTATGTTGACCGATATGCCTGATGAACGTTTGGCAGCTTATGGTTTAAATCCGAAAAATTTTAGAAATTTTGTTGTTTTTAACAAAGATAAAAAAACTAAATAAAAGAAATAAAAATCATTTAGATAATATGAAAAATATTTTAATATTTGTTGAATATCTTCTTAGTATCAAAAGAAAAAAGGTCAATTAGTTCATTTGAATATATATCTTTGGGTATAATTTTTCAAAATGCTCTTCGGCAACTTACGACATCTATACGCGTAAATTTTGCTATGCTTACATAAGTGTACCAACGAATTGGAATTTTCCTTGTTCGTAAGGGTAGAATCAGTATTTTCTATTGGTCATTGACGTTAAACCAATAACTTAAGCAATGTAAGGGCGAGTGCAGCGAAGGAATAAATACAGAACAGAGCAATTCATTTCAGTTGAATTTCGCATAACATCTATATAGTCTAGTCTCTTATTTGTAGATCAATCATTTATCTTCTCTTGTCTTTAATCATTTTGTTTATTGTTTATTAATTCTATTCATATTGATCTGTGTGTAATAATGTATATATTGGAAAAAAAAAAACGAATGAAGGACATTGCTATATTCATATAATTTATTGTTTATTATTATCATTAACTAAATATGATGGTTCAACAAAAATAGTCGATTTAATCATTTTCTTTTCATTTTTTTCTCTGTTCATTAAACTTATTGAAATAAAAAAAAATATTTATATTCAATGCAAAGTGATTCGTCGTCGCTTGACACGCTCAAAAATAGTTTGTTGAGCGCCGTCGATGCTGATTATAATGTAATATTTTCTTTTTGTTTTATTTTGTATTTAAAAAATAAGAAAAAACTTCTTTAGGTAACTAATCCAGAAACAGTATTAGAAATTATTTCCCAATTAGAAAAAATTGAAATAACAAGAGATCAATTACAAGTTCGTATTTTATTTATATTTATTGAAATAAAATCTATATTTTTTTATTTCTTTAGTCCACTCGTCTTGGTCGGGAAATTAATACAATACGACAGAAAATTGATGCACGAAAAAAAAGTGCTCAACAAGCAGGAGAAAATCCTCAAGCTATTGTTGAAATAGCTCAACGTGCAAAACGACTTTTACGATCATGGCAAGGTTTACTTAATACATCACAAACTGATATTAATATTTCTCTATCATCTATTCCACCCCCACCTATATCTGTACCTTCTGTAAATGGCGAAAATCATGAAACAACATCACCAACATCAGAAAAACCTCGATTAATACTTAAAGTTAAAATAAATCCATCAATAGCAACAAATAGTAATAATGATAATAATACAAAAGCAAAGAGAAAACATGATTCAGAAGTCAATGGTGTATCTGTTAAACGAAGAAAAGCTCAAGTTGAAACACCTTTAACAACAATAACACCACCACCACCACCATCAACACCTATATCACCAGTACCATTAATTGAACCAAGTAATAGTTTACCAAGACTTAAAACAACTCAACAACTTTTGATGGAAATGCAGTTGAATCAACCTGATGTACTTTCAACACAAACACCAACTGTTAATGCGATTTTACAACATCAAATTGTAGATGAAAGTTTACGTGATACAGGAAAAGTTGATTATTCAGCTTTGCATCATGGAAGGGATGCAAATAATTCAAATGTCAAGTAAATATAGATATATTCTATTAGGATTTTATTTCTTTGTACATATAAGAGATTTATTTTAATTGAAAATTATTTCATCAGATATTTCATCATACTGAGAAATTAATGATATGTTGGGAATTTCACACATAGAAATTTAATATGATTTTCTGAGAATAGTAAACATGTATTCAATAGTTTTTGAAGGTGTTTTGCTATGGTGTTTATAATTAGAATAGATTTTTTTTGTATTTTCGATATGAGTTTACCAAACAATTTTCCTCCAATTTAACGGGTATTTATTTAAAACTAGTATTTTGATATGTTCATTTTATGAATATTTTACTTGAAACTTTGGATATATAGATTATTCGACTAGCTAAGAATTCATAAGAAAATACCGAAGTGTAGAATAAACTTTTTCTAAGATTCAAAAATTCATGGCATGTGTATAATAATGATAAAGATTTTTTTTTTATAATATTGAGTACATTGCTCAAATCAAAATAGTAATTTTTATAATTAATAAAGCTTTGTATTTTTTAAGATCATCAATAATTCTATTCAGGTTATTTTCGTAATGATGCCGACTGGAAGAACTTCAAATTCTGAACTACATAGAGGAATGACTATATTGTCTAAGCTATTTTGTTAAAAAGTTAAATCTATTATGTCTAACTTTGCAAGAAAACCTCCTTCATTGTAGTTAGTTTGTGGAATTTTGTATAGAAAACTTTTTTGATTGTTAAAATCATTATTTAAATTTTAAGTAGATGTTGAGTATTGTATATAAGGAATTAGGAATATGTTATTACTAAACTACATCTTCTATCACAGTAAAGTGACAAGAAGAAGTTTTATAATACTTAACATCTTTTTAAATCATTTTAAAATTTCTACTAGAACTCTATGTAATACCGATTGGTTAGAGAGAATGATTTGAATATATAGAAAATAAGATTTCTGCATAATGTGTGAGATAATTAGATATTCTGATCGATGAACTTCAAATAAATATATAGTTGAAACTAGTTATTAGGGATGGCACTTTATCTTTACTTTGGCAGGTAAAGTAAAGTAAATTACTTTACTTTTTCAAAGTCAAATGAAGATAAAGTGCCACTCCTACTAGTTATATTTAATTTAATATTCGCCAATATATTTCATAAAAATATGGGATTTAATTTTCAGTTTGAAGTTTGTTGTAGAAATGAGTTTCTCTAATATTCTTTCGTATAAATTTCAAAAGAGTTTTATATAGGACATTTTTTTCTTGATTGATTCAATGTATAATCTAACTTCGAGCCTATATATTTATAAGAGAAGATAAATTTATATTTAAAAAATTTGATCCACAAAAAAAATTTATAACGTATGAGAATATCTTATATGTTTTCTTCTTTATGGATTAGTATAAGATATCCAATCGATATAATACGTATTAAATTAAGTATTAGGTTTATTGTTAAGTATTTTTAGAAGATGAAGATGAAATATCTTGTTTTTTCAAAAGTTTAAGATAATTTCCCACAATTAAAATACATGGATATTTATATGAAATAAAAATTTAATCTTATTTTTTTTCTAGCAGTAATTATCAAAAACAATTATCTACAACCCTTCCAAATGTAATATCTCCCACTAATTCAACATTATCAACCGGTTCAACATCAAAACGTCCAGGACTTGTACAACGTCCATCGTCTACATTATTACCATCAAATACAAATTGGGAAAATGGTAGTAGTGCTGGTGGTTCTCCTGTTTCTCCATCTTCATCATCATCTTCATCCATAGCTAGTACAACATCTTGGCCTCTTTCTACAAACATTCCAGAACCACCATCGTCTATACCTGTCATTCCAAAAAAGAAACGTCGAAGAAAACATAGTGAACAACAACAACATCAACACCAACAAATTAAGTCAACCACGGTAGAACAGTCAACACCATTATCACCTGATTTAGCAACATTATGTTCATCATATAATTCAGTTGCTGATCTTGTTGAAGCTCATCGTCAACGTATATTAGGTGAACATGATGCACGAGAATTAGAAGCAAGACCTGATCTACTTTTGGTACCAATTGATCAACTTGCTTTTGTTTATGAACGAGAAAGGACTAAAGAATTAAAGTTAACATCCGAATCTACGCAAACATCAATGACATCGGTTGATACACTTGATCAACCATCTGGTCTTATTGCTTTACCATTTATTGATTGTCCACTTGAATTTGATCTCGTACTTGAAGAACTAGTCGTACAACAACCGACGATGGACATGTAGATGTTCTCTTCTTCTTCTTTCTTCTTCTCTTTCTCATTTTTCTTCTTCTTCTTCTTCTTCTTTTTCTTTTTCAAAACTTATACAAAACAAACAAACTAAAAAAAAACATGGTGTTTCAACAGTTTTTCTTTCTCTTCTTCTTCTTCTTCTCCTCTTGTACGCGTGTGCGTGTTTGTTTGTTTATTTATTTTTTAAAAAAACAAAGAAGATAATTTCTTGGGAAAAAACACGTATAAAACATATTTATTTCAAGTTATCATTACATTAAATTTCTATAACAAAAACAACACAAAGATTCTTTAGTTGGAATAATTAAAATATTCGATGGTAAATTATATTTTTCATCATTATCATCGATTGATAATAAATGCAAATGAATTAATACTTGAGAATATTGATGTTGTTGAAAATATTTGATTATGGATGATAATGAACATTGTTGAATGGAAAAACTAAATTAACAAAGTTACATTTCATGTCTTGTGAATCTAATAGGGAATTGTTTTTCTCAGTAGGAACACGTTTGGTCGTGTTATAGCAACATAAGATTGTACGATGAAAGATCCTCGACTATTCTGCTTAGCTGTACTATAAATATGATCTTCATTTGTTTACAATAACTAAAAAATGTCTTTCATCTCGATTAACTCATTTTTATGTTTTGAAAATCTTCAACTGAATCAATAACATTCTTCATTTGAGATTTTTTTATTCTATAAATAAATATGTATATTGACTTACAAGAGACACACAATTTGTAATGATTGACATGTATTGAAAATGTTTGATAATTGTTTGATATTAATATCGATTAATTCAAGTGATCGTAGTGATGAATGAGAATGAAAAGAAGAGAATTCTAAGATTGTATGATTTAAACTACATATCTTAACTTTTGATGGAATATACAATTGTTCATTATTGGAATTATTTGTTTTAATAACTAGAATAAAGAAAAGGTTTCTTCAAATACGAAAGTATAGTTTTGTAAATATTACTTTGTAATGAAGCCAAATCAAGATAATGAAGTGTATGAAGTTGATCAAGGAAATTTGTTAATATTGTACGATCACATGTTGAATGACGTAATATAATAGTCTAGGATAAAATATATTGAACTTTTTTAATTAAACTCGAAATAGTATACTTTTAAATATTGTTTGTCAATCGCAGATAGAAGAAAATGAATGTTGACACAATTTTCGAAGCATATTTTTCGAAGATGTTCAATAAAATAGACTAGAATATAGAAATTATTCTTTTTTTATCTTTAATTATCTTTGTTACACGTACTATTTTCAGGAAAGGCTTGGGTTAAATATAAATTGCAAATATTGAGTGATTTCAACCTATAATAAAAAAAGTAGATCATACTGAGTATATAGTTGAATATTTCTATAAATATAAATTATTAACATCTCTATATATTTTACTTTTGTAGGAAGTAAATAATTGAATGGAGACTAGTTCAGATGAACTTATTTTTAATATTAGTACATTATCGTATTAATAAAGTATTATACAGCTATTTCTTAAGAATTATCGGAATAATTAAAAATAAAATGGTTTCGTATTATTTATTAAGAACTTATTTTAAACAATAGATATTTTTACAGATTCTGACTGTGTCGAAAAACCAAACATATAGAACAATTTTATTGTCATTAGAACAAAGCACATAATAGGTATATAATAGTCAATTGGTGGAGTTTCTCCAAATGGTAATAAAGTTAAACCACGTCTTTGAGCATCTCGTATATGATGTGTTGACCAACCAATAAAAAATATCGCTGAATAATAAATATAATGATATCGCCAAAGAAAGTGTTCAATACCAAAAGCGAATATATTAATTATTAACAAGAGAAGACTATTGTGAAGAAATGGTCGACCTTGTTGTAGATTTAATGCATGATGTAATGATAATGAACGTGCTTCAAGAAAATGATCAATATCAACAAATGAACCAGCTATATAAGCTAGAATTAATAAAGTACGACGTTTCCAACCAAAGAGAAAGCTTGTAGCAAAAACACTGATTAATCCATGTATGAAATTATCAGTTATAACACGAAGGTATGTATTTGAGATAATATGGAATGAGAAAGGTCGACCAAAACATAAACAATCGCCAAGAAGACTAACAAAACATAAACCCAATAGATTAAATCCATCGATCAATAGAATAGTTTGTGTTAGAATCATTTTACTATCTGCAAGAAAAATTATTACTTGAGATATTATAACAAGGTGAAGAAAATATATATAAGAAATTATAGTTCCATTTGAAAACAAAAATTTATTTATACTTATTCAAACAAGATGATCAGATCAGTTTGATTAATATAAACAACATTTAGTATGGATCTGTAAAAGTACAAATATTCAACCGTCTGTAAATATCCTAAGATTAATTTAATCACAATCGGAAGAGATGTGAAAGAACCTTTGCGTTCATAAACGAAGATTGTAGATATAAATTCGTTGATAGATGGTTAGATAAAACACAAAACAAACTTATAGTAAATAAACTATATAAAACATATTTTAAAGTTTGACTTTATAATACTCAGAATTATATATCTGAGTAACGAATGTTCAATTAGATTAGACGATACCAATCTGAAGCTCATTAAATTCTATCATTTTATGTTATTTTTATCGTTGATAGTTATTTACTGACCACCCTGCTCAGTGTAGTCATCCTTTTCTGTATCACCAGATAAGACGCAAAAAAAGTCATCTTACGCTATAGAAAAAGAAATTGTTGATGTTAAGCTTACATTATATACCGATTACTTATACTATGAAACTTCTCGTTTTTAAAGATAAAGTATTCTATACCTTTTTAGTTTGAATAATAAAATAATAATATCACGTATTGTCCTAATTAACATAATAGCAAATGGATTAAGTTCAGTAATATTATGTAAAAATGAGATTTTTAAATGTTTTAATCGTTCGAGTTTTAATAGAAAAACAAGTGATGGTTCATTCGATATACATTCATAAGATAATTCTAATCGACGTATACGTTTTTTTAATAAATATTCAAGTTGTAATTGATCAAATGAACGAAGAGACTCAAAATGAACAGATGAGCAACGTAAATACAATTGTTTTTTGGATGATTTATCATCATCATCATCATGAGATTTTAATAATTGACGTTTCCGTCGTTTATTTGTTGAATTTACTGATGGTTGTGCTTTTAAATAAACAGTACAATGAGAATATATATCTGATTTTGTAAATAAATCAATATTTGATGAGCGAACATAACGGATAAGATCAGATGTTACTAAATAATTAGAGCATTCATCAATATTGAATATAACGGATGACCAAAATGAAGTATGTTGATTAATACAAGAATAAAATAGACGTGAAACAAGACGTATAGAAAATAAATCATTGATTTGTAAATAAGAAAAAATATGAGCCCAAAGTTCAACAGGTAATTGTGGTAATAAACAACGATTTTTCCATTCAAGATAACGTTCACGAGTAGTTGACATGACTAGATTTTATTGATTAATAGAATTCTAAAAGTGAAATATTTAATTTTTTAAATAGTATATTTGATTGAAATCTTTCGTTCTTATCATTTTTTTTTTGGTAACTAAAAAAATATGTCGTTCTTTTCATTCTGAGTCATTAATATTGTTGTTATTCTAGGTAAATTCGTCGAAAAAAACTTTTTCTTTTCTTCATCCTACTGAGAAGAAGAAGAAAAAAACAGTCTGAAAGGAGTAAATGAAAGAGAACAGTACTGTAAGTAAAACAACAACTCTCTGACATTTTTCGAAGAAAAACGTATACAATGGCAGCTGCATTAAACATAGAAAAACCTGAACAACCTCAATTAGCAAAACATGATTCGAGTATCCTTGGTAAGATTCTTTTTGAGTATAGGAAATATATTTTATATGATGGTACAAAAAAATCTAGATTTGGTTTTTGTCATGGATTGTACTGGTTCAATGGGAAATTATATTGCAAGTGCAACACAAAATATTCGTTCAATTGTTGAACAAATTGTAACAAGTGAAAAAAGTGATATTCATTTAGCATTAGTTGAATATCGTGATCATCCTCCTCAAGTTTATTTTCAAGGATTTTGTTCTTTTCTTGTTTTTGTCTAATGTAATTCTATTTTTAGGACACTACATTTATTACTCGTGTGCATGATTTTACAAGTAAAGTTAAAGAAATGAGAGGTTGGCTTGAACAATGTAATGCAGAAGGCGGTGGTGATGTACCTGAAGCTGTAGCTGATGCATTACATGATGTTCTTAAGTTATCATGGCGTCCTGAAGCAACAAAAATTTGTATTCTTATCTCGGATGCACCACCACATGGACTTGATCCAAGTAATGGTGATGCTTTTCCTAACGGAGATCCTACTGGTGTTGATCCTATTAAAATTGCGCGAGAAATGGCTGAAAAACAAATAACACTCTACGTTGCTGGAGTTGAACCAGCTATTGGTAAGTTAAATTTCATTTTCTTATCTAAAACAAAAATCAGAATAAAATAATTTCATTTAGTACCTTATCGAGATTTTTTTATGTCTATTGCTTATATAACTGGTGGACAATATGTTCCAATGATCAATGCAAAACTATTAGCACAAGTGATAATTGGTGGTGTTTGTGAAGAAATCTCATTGGAACGTTTAATGCAAGATGCAGAAGAAGATATAAATCGTGAAATGAAAAAAGCTGAAACTGAAGGTGCTGCTGAAAGTGAAATCACAGAAAGAGTTAATCGATTATTAGTAACAAAGAATTTACGTGTTAAACAAATGGAAAATCTAGCTGGAGCAACATCATCGAAAGCTAAAGAAACCTATTCAAAATGTGCTGATATGAAGGAATTACGAAGTCAATATGTAGTAGAACCAGCACCTACAATCGAGCCAATTTATCCTACACGTCGAACTCGTGCAGAATATCGTCGCGCGGCTAGTCGTCCAAGTGACGCTGAAGAGGATACCGCAGATACTAACACAACAGCAGGAGGATCATTACCACGCCCACCACCACCTGAAACAGCTACGCCAATGAATTATGACTTAAGAGATGATGCAACTGTTAGTATGGCACAAACAGAACGTATTGTACAACGCATGAGAAATAAAAGAACAACTTAATTCTCGATTTAATAATTATAATATTTTAAAATATAATAAGAATCAATAAAAAAAAAGTAATAAAAATAATTTTCTTCTTAACTGTCAGATAAAACAAGCACACTTTTACAATTCAGTTTTTGAGAGAATACTCAATGGATGTATAGCTCCATTTTGTGTTACATATTTAAACCATTTTAATGGTTCATTTCCACGTAATTGACCTTTTGTACTGCATTGAACTGTTTGTTCATAAGTTAACCACATAGCTCCATAACTATATTTATGAAAAAACAAAAATTAAAATCTAAAAAAATTTTCTCTCTCAATAAAACTAACCTTTCATAATCAGGTACCGTTTTTGGTTCACAATTATCTTCATCCAATGGTTCAGCAAAATAGATTATACGAAGACGATTTATATCAGATCTCGGTGTAAATTCAATTTTTAATACACCAGTTATTCGTATTCTAACACCAGCTTCTTCTAATGTTTCACGTTCCGCTGCTTTATCAAGTTGTTCTCCAACTTCAACACGACCTCCAGGTAACCAGAAACCCATTGAACCTGATTCTTGTACAACAAGAAAACGATTATCACGTTTACGTTGACATACAACTAATGCAAACGCATATAAAGGTGTAGCTTTAGGTCCTTGTCGATGTTCTTGATCATGTTCTTCATGTAAATGTACAGCATAATTACGTGTTGATTGTTGACATAGTTCACATTTTATTGACATTGCGCCTTCATTTGTATGATAAAGAGGAACATGAGTATAAAGTTGAGAAAATGAAAGTGATGTCCATTTACAATATGGACATGTGTATGTCGGTTTAGGATGTGATTGACCTAATGGAAGTAATCGCTGAAAAACATCACGAATTTGTGTTACATATTCAGTTATCATATTTACACCAAGTTCAGCAAAATACCATCTAGAAGAATATAATATTTATTTCAATTAGTTTATATTTGAAACTATTTACCGAAGATTAGGATCAGCACAAACTTTGTGTGAATGAAGAATAATAAATGTACTTTTATTACGATGACGAATTATTTCAATTAATGGTTCACCTAAACTTTCGTCGGTCATACCTAATTTAGTAATAACAATGACTGGTAGCGAAGAATTGCTTTTTGATTCAACATGTTTGATAGCGTCTTGTGTTTGTGTAAATAGATGAATGTTAAATTGATTAGAAAATTCAGTTTTTAATAAATTTTGTAATTCAGGATAATCAGTTTCTGATTCATGAGGTGACCAAAGTAGAACTAAATCAAATAATGCAGAAGACATCTAGAAAAAAAACCGATCAATAATACTATTTAAATGACTATTTCAGGAATATTGTTTCATTTTATTAATAATATAAAAATTTTAAAAACAAAAATAATATCACAGTAAAAAATAGGAGAATATTTATCGAATTTGAAGCATCATTGAGTCAGAATTTGTAGAACAAGTAAATATTTTCTTATGAGCTTTATCAAGCCAATATCGATCATATTTATAGCCACCAATAGGATTTTGTTGATTTTCATCAATATAATTAGAAGATTTGCTTATATTCCATGTACGTATAACTAATCTTATACGTTCAAGTAATGGTAATCGTTCTTGTAATAATGATGTCCAAAATGGAGCACGTATATGATCTTTATTATTTATAATAGTATCAATTGAGAAACGTTTAATGGACGGTAGAGAAGTCAACAATTGTGCAAGAACGAGATCATTGAATATACGATAGTAAAAACGGAGATTCGTTATTTGAGGAAATTTCATAAGTAGTTGTGATTCTGATAATGATGGAATCGTATCTGTTGGAGTTATTAAACTATTACGAGAATCGAGCGTCATTGAAAGTGAACGAAGATTTGGACAGTGAGACAGAAGAGAAAAAAGATGATTGATGTTTATAAAATTTAATGAAAGAACTTCAACATTATTTAATAAAATCATTTCAGTATTCAACCATTGAATTTTCTATAAAATAATAACAAAATAGAAATCGTTACTTATATTATGACAAATTTAATTATTTAATAAATTTTGTGATATATACATCTGTTTATATAAAATCGGGCAAAATCTAGTTCTTTTGAGCTATCTTAACTTAGGTAATAATGAGTTTGAATTCAATATTATTATTTAATAATGCAGTTAATTGTTCATTATTATTCTTCATCTTCATATAGGACATACAGAAGTTACTCTGAATATGTGAAATCAAGGTGGGTTTGTGCGCTCCACTTTGAAATAGTATCAAGATAAAAAACCTATTCACTGTTCTGAGTAATGATTTATATGTCAAAACGAACGATGAAAAATTTGTCATAGCAATTAAATAACCCATAAAAAACTTAAACTTCTAAGATTTCATTTTGTTCTTATTTGACTAAGATTGTCTTATATCCCTGCTTTGAGAATAAAGACATTATTCAAATTTTATTTCAACTAATCATTAATATTCACAAACTCTACCAATTGTCTTCTATCTTTTATATATCGATCTGTCCAAGCGTTTTCACGTTCTCTGTTTAATACCTCAACACATTCGGATCGATTAAAGTTGAATACTTCTATAAGATATATAAGCTCGGTTGCCCTACACATCAAAAACAGTTTCGTTAGATTTCGTTCTTTTCCTATAATTCTAAAAGTAAAATATATGCTCGTGACGAAATCAACAAAAATGGTAATGCTTTTTCAGTGTTGTATGAAAAGCCGAAAACTTCAACTCAGCTATAAATGTGATGAAAAACTTTTGCATACGTAAGTTATAGCATACATGACAGAATAGTCATCCAAATAAAAAAAGGTGCCGTGAAGGCATTATGTTTTAAAAATGGTCATGTTTTTATGACCATTTATTTTTCCGAAAAATGAATTGCAATTTCATTGAATGGGTGAGGCTAATAAAGTATGTACGGAAATGTCTAAGGAAAAATTTCTTACATCATCCTTCTAGTACCTTAAGAATTACAGGATGAAAGCACAAATTTTGCATTTTTCTGACTTAGCCCAGATGGCTGGACAGGTCAATATGGATTATCATTCTTTTTGAAAATATTCAATATAAATTACTTCATGTAAATCAAGTGCCAAAGCACGAATATTTGGTTGATCAAATACTGCTTGTGTAGCATTGGCTAATTGTTTGTCATCATATATTTCATGTGTATTTATATGTAAATGTTTTAATTGATTTAATTGTTTAATTTGTTGCATTATTTCTATGGATTCATCATAATTAATATCAATTAATGTTAAAGAATATAAACATTGAAAATTACTAAGATTTGTATAAGATAAAAATTGACGTATTTGAGGATAACGATAATAATTATTCGATAAGATTAATACATATATATTATTAAAATTTGTTTTTGTTAATGATGAACAAAATCGATCAAAATTAGATTCTTTAGTATTTGATGTATCAGCTACTAAACGTAAACGAGAATCAAATACAAGATTATTAAATCTTGTATTCATATTAAAAAACGCTGTCCAAATATCTTCAATATTCATATATTCCAATATTGTCATGAGAATTTCACCTGAGAGATCTTCGAGACAAGACATCTAAAAATTTATTGTATAATATGTAAAATAAAAAGAAAAATGACAAGAAATCTTAGCAACTTTCATCGTTTATTTTGTTTTTTTTCAAAGTATACATATATGAATCATAAAAGTGACGTAGGATTGCAAAAATATGAGTCATATGACAACTTCCTTGGTAATAATTGCTACAGTCATTTAAATATGTAATTAGAAAATTTCGGAGTATTCCAACGATGAGTAATGATTGAAAATACTTCCTTTTCTCTCGCTATTATCCGTGAAAACAATGAATTCTAACTATTTAGTTTTTGAATAAGTATCGTTACGAGATTAAGATTTTTTCTGAATAAAAATAAGATAGACAAATATTTTCGATTCATTGATCTTACTCAATGATCATTTCTTATTTACATACATAATTGTTTTCGAATCAACATGGAATACAAACACAAAAAAAAAGAGAACAAAAAAAGAAAAAAGAAACTAGGTAAGCACCGGTGGTGTAGCTTGATCAGTAGAACTTGTTGTTGTTGTAAGTTTGACACGTTTTTGTTGTCGTTGTCGATAGATATCCATTGTTGAACGTTCACCTGACGTTGATTGTGGTTGTTGTTCTTCATCATCACTATCACCAAGACCAGCTTTGCGACCTTGAGAGTTATTCATAGAATTTGATCCATCAAGTTCACGAAGTAATTCACCTTGAATACCAATACGTATTGGTTCGAAGCCTGAAAAGATATTTAAATAGAACACAAATATCGATAATACAATAACTTACTATCGGGTATAACAATACGAGAAACACGTTCCATTAATTCATCAATAATAACAAATGGACCTTCAAAATTTCGTGCTGGTGGAAGAACTTTAACTAAATAAAGTGCTGTATCTGGTAATGGAAAAACTCCACCAGCAGTTGGATGACTACCCGGTAATGGATTTCGTGTTGGTCGAAATGGCATCATATGTTTAATATCAGGTCGAGGTAAAACTGCACGTCGATCACGTGCAGCTTGTTCTAATAATGCCGTACCATTTATAGTTGAACCATTACTTATTAATGATGATGTTGTTGATGATAAATTCGTTTGTGATGATTCTTTATAACCAAGTAATTTAAGTTCTTCATTTGAACATGGTAATAAATTAAGAAATTTATATCGATCAACAAGTAATAATGTTTCTCGTCCTTCTAATTCATGTAAATCCGAATAAAGTGCTAAACGACGTTTTTCAACTTTTTTTATTGATTGTAAATCTCCAACTTGTGATTCAAATTTAAGAAATTCATGCCATATAGCTGGTTGTAATGGTTTTGATATTGGATTATCTGGTGATAAAACACGTTCAAATAGAACACGTGCATTATGATCTTCATTTAAATGTGTCATATAATCAATATAAGCTAATATATAATCAACATTTTGACTATATTTTTTTAAACCAAGATTAAATATATTAAATGCAATATTATTATCTTTTGAACAATAATATTCCATTAAAGCTGCTGCAACATAAATTTGATGATTTGTACGTGTATCTTCTCGTGCACGTTTAAATAATGTACGTGCTGCTTTGATTCCATCAGTACGACGTTCAAAACGCATGGCTTGTATATAAGCTAATGTTGGATCTTTTAAATTTGCTTCATTAACATCTAATAAACGATTATATATAGCACGGGCTTTATCAACATTTAAACGTTGTTCTTCAAAATCAGCATATGCAAAATGTATAAGCATATTTGAACGCATATATGTTTGTAATGCACGTTCATATAATGTTGCTGCTTCATCGAGAAAACGTTTTGTTAAATGAGCATCACCACGATCAGAATATAGACGTGAAACTTGTTCTAAATATGCACATGCTTCATACCTGAATAAAAACAAAATCTTGATTTATCATTGATTAATATAAAAAAAAATACATACCAAAGATCCGCTTGATAGCCAAGACAAAGTAAGCATTGTTCATAAGCTAGAACAACTCGACGTGTAACCAATAATGGATCTTCTGATTTCAATGGATTTGATCGTTCCCATGCAATTAATTTTTTCCAAGCAGCTAATTGTTTGATTTCATCAACTGATTGTGGTGATGTTGGTAAGACACATGGAATATTACGATCAATAGTACGTACTAATGTTTCAAATTCTTTTGTAACACGTTTAGCATTTAGAAAATCACGAGAACGTTCATCAATTATTTTCTTAGCTAATGTTGGATTGATACTCTAAGAAAATATCATTAATATATATATATAATCTACATATAATTTAACTTACCATTTCATATGTGCAATAATCTTTCCATAATAATTCAACACTAGTCATTGGTGTCATAATACCTTTTTGATAAACTTTTCGTACAGCTGTTATTTTTTGATTTTCAGCAAATGAACCAACTGCTTCCCTTGAAATATTAACGAATGTTAGTGTATAAATAATAATAAAGAATTATTTAATTTCGCGAAGATTTAGAGATTGAGAATGATTATTATTCTTAACAATCAAAAGATTCATTTTAATCAATGTCTTTCTCTTATAAGCAAGTATCGATCACTGAAGTGTAACGTTTCTATCAAAAGGTACACTTAGCTTTCTGATTGCTATATTGGATCTAACGAAGAAACCTCTCGAGGTGATAAAAAGCTTTCGAAGTCGATCTTGTTTTATCTAGTAGATCCTAGTGAGTAGTGAAATACCCTAAGTTGGTTCGTGCCCTTATTGCTTTGGGAGTGAGTGAGTCATAGCCAATTCACTATTTTTTTGACGTATGACACTATATGAGTAACAGTAATAAATGAGCGACTTTGGATCTGAAATTTTGTCCATGAAGAGGTCTTATGAATACTAAAATATCCTGAAAGTATCAGACAAAACGAGTGAACCCCTCTTGAGATAATGAATTCCCAAAAAATTGACTATTTGTTTCACGCACTAAAGATTTATCTTCGAAAACAGTTGTTTTTTAACAATTCACAATCTGAGGAAGAGTTCACTCGTTTTATGTGATACTTTCAGGATATTTTAGTATTTATAAGACCTCCTTATGGACAAAATTTCAGATCTAAACTCGTTCATTTATTACTGTTACTCATATAGTGTCATACGTCAAAAAAATACTGAATTGGTTATAACTCACTCACTCCCAAAGCATTAAGGACACAAACCAACTTAGAGTATTTCATTACTCACTAGGTTCTACTAGATAAAACAAGATCGACTTTAAAAGCTTTTTATCACCTCGAGAGGTTTCCTCGTACGAGAAATTATTTTTGATAATGAATGAGATCTTTTAGTTTTAATAAATAGGATAATTAAACCTAATGTTTTTCGAAAACAAATACTTACACTGATTTAAGAAAAATAACATAATCATTCCAAATAGTGTATGAATAAACATCCATTCCGACTTTTTCCAATGCAAAATCATATGCTTGAGCCATTTTTTCCCTGAATAGATATATACAATAATATTCTTACCAAGAAAATATTCAATTTGTTAAATATTTGAATTAGAATATTGACTACATACTGTTTCGAAATATTTTTATCTTCATTTTACTAAGGAATATATATATATATAGGTACATATAATAAAATATTGTAAAAATAGAATAGATTAATAAAAGATAAAGACAAAATAAGCAAATTTCGTTTTATTTTTCTTTAAATAAGATATAACAAATATATGATATTGTAAAAAAATATTTTTCTTTATTCTCTTTCTAATTAATATTAGATCTAAATAATAAAAAAGAAAATATAGTTCGAACCTGAACGACGGTAATTTGCCTTTAGTATCACGAACATAATTTAAATAACATTTCCATAAATCAATATTCAATACTTTGATTAAACATCGTTGAAAAAGCTAAAGAGAAATTGAAATGAAAATATTAACATTTCATCATCGGTATACAAGAATAAATCTATTTCTTTTTATTACGCATGTAGCAAACTCGAACAATTTATGCATCGAAATGATTCTCCTGATATATGTGAGGACATATTAATAGAAATTATGAAACTTCAATCGAAGCCGAACTGTTTGGATTCGATTGATGTTTCATAATTGCCTTTATTATGCCTCCACACATGTCAGGAAAATCATTGCGACGCTTAAATTGTTCGAGTTCGCTACATGCCTACGTTTTATATGATTATCTTTATTCAGGTAAATATGCTATTCCTTTAAGAGTAAATATACATCTATTTGGGGAAAGAAGATAATTAGTTTTTTTATTTATCATTGTTAGTATAGAATAATGCAATTTTCTTTCTGGTAATTGACTACGTTTCTAAGTAGTACTCTATCTTATAACAAGGAAGTAGACTTGACGTAAAGTTCTTCTCATTCATTAAGTTTCTCAATTACATTTACAAACTAGCTATCTTCAAAGCGTATATCGTAAAAGTAAACTAAAGAACCAAAAAATGCAGGTGACAATATAGTAAACAAGTTACGGAGAGTAATCCGACGTATGGGTTATCACGAACTTGCTAAAGATTAGTTCATCTCGAGGTAACATCCGATAAAGAAAAGGCATAACGTATTTTTTTGTCCATAGCTCAGTTATACTGAAGAATAGTTTACGTATTTCTTCAAGATTTTAGATTTTCTATAGAGATTCATTTCATAAATACACGTACTTTTTCCACTTTTTCATAGTTTCGTCCTTTAATCTAAAATATATTTAAATAAATTTTTTCTTATTTAATAATCGAATAAAAATTTACCTCCGATTCAATATAACTTTTCCAAAATTTCCCACATGTTGGAAATTGTGTAATTAAAGATTCATAAAAATCACGAGATTCAGCTATTTTCTTATCCTAAAAAAAGATTATTTGAATAATTATTTTCTATTAAAACTAAAAACAAACTTGAGCATCTTGAATGAGTATTGCCCATGCATCAAGTGAATGTTTATTTTCATTTAAAATTCTTCTTGCTTGCTGAATCTTTTCATTACGTGTTAAATCCTAATTTAATAAGAAAAAAGTTAAAAAAAACACGAAAATTCTAAATCTAATTTACTTCTCGCATGTAAATACTCATTTGAGATGATTAAATCTAGAATAAAGATTCATTCGGTGTGCATATTTCCTTCGCATAACTACTACTTAGAGAGAGAAAAAAGAATGAAAGAAAGGAGTCATTTTTTTTTACAAATGAGAAAAGAAAATAGAATATATGAAATTAATATTTCTGTTTTGTTATGTTAATTAAGCATTGAACGACGAACGGAAAGTAAAGCTTGAAGAAGAAAATAGCCAATAATGCATGTATACATAAATCGATCGCGAAAATCTCGTCTTGCTAATGTTCGTTCGATATGTTGAATACGATTCTGAAGTAATTGTAATTTATTTATTACATGTTTATCATCGAAATTTGTAATTGGTTCGATATGCCATCTGAAATATAATTTCGAATATATATCTACATGTATATTTATTTATAAAACTTACGATTCGGCTAATTTTATCGGTTGATGCTGATGCGGATTATGAGGTGTGTCAATTGTTGTATAATCATCATCACTTGGAGGTTCAATATTTGATGGGTTAAATGAAGGTTGTTGTGTACTTGAATCAAACGAATGATCAAGATTATTATCTGTTGAATAATCACTGCCATTAGATATTCCAGTATTAGTATTATTACCTGGAAGAAAAAAGAACAGATATGTAATAAAAATACAAAGGATAATTAGTTTTTGTTTTACCAAGACGAATACTGTTAGGTACTTCCATACGAACGGGTAATTGTTCATTTTCTTGATGAAGACGAGATATTGTTGATCGATTTGGACCTACTGTTATTGAATCTGGTACATGCATTTGATAGCCTAAACATAATATAATGAGAGTTAGATAGAATCAGAGTAGGGGACGTGCACGGAGTCGCCGTCGAAGTTAAGTAAGTTGCATTTTAATAATTCAACTTTAATGTTAAAAATTATTTAAGCTCATAGTTTTGTTGTCCGACATTTTCTCTATAAAATTACGTATTTTGAAGTATCGGTAGACTTCTTATCGGGTCTCACAAACCAAAAAAAGTCCGAGTCGAAAGTGACTTCGATTTTCTTTTGTGTTGGTGAGGTTCAACAAAGCATCGACTTATGCTTCAAAATACATAATTTGGTAGAGAAAATGTCGGACAACAAAACTATGAACTTAAATAATTTTTAACGTTAAAGTTGAATTATTGACATGAAATTTACTTGACTCCGTGCAGATCTCTACTATCAATGTATTTTAAATTCGTATATAACTTACTCATTTTTGTAATATGATTAAGATCAATTTTTTTTTGTACTAAATCATCCGGATCGTCAGCTGAATGATTCATAACAAATTGTGAAAAAAAAATCTAAAATTTTTCTTTTCATATTTAAATTGGAAATAGAAGAAAAGAAAAGGAACAAATAGACAAAATACACATTACAAAGACCATAAGTCTATTCAAGGAGAAAAAAGAAGAGAAAAAGATGTAAATTATTTTTTTTATTATGAATTTAATGATTGTTGTTTAAATATTAGAACTGATTCTGATGACCAATGAAGATTACATGATTTGTAAACTAAATAAATAGAAATTAATATGAATAAATTGAAATCTTTCATCTATACCTAATGTCCAAACATAAGGCACAAAAAAGTCTTCTGGTTGTTCTTCTTCAACATATTTAAATTTTAAATCAGGAAATTTCTAAAAGTAGAAAAATTCCACGATGATTTTTAAGGATTATATATATATGAATAGTACTTTTAATCGATCTGATGGAAATTGTTTAGCATTTGTTTCTAAGACTTCTTTAACCCATTCAGCTGAACGTTGTTCTGATTGATCAATTTTGTCAGCAAAAAAAACTATTATTGTATCGATATTTTGTAAAATATCTTGAAAATTTGGATGTGCACGATAATTATCAAATATATCTCTATTATAAAGTAATCCATATATTAAATTAATATTAAATCTAAGTGAATGTGTTAAACATGAATTAATTATTTCCAAAACCATCCTCATAACATCTTCAATAATAGCTAAATCTTGTATATATTCATTAAGATTTTCATCATTTGATGCTAATGTTTGAATATTATTTGTTAATTTTGTTGCTGATGCTGTATGTTCTTGTTTAGATTGTTGTTGTATAAGTTCTAAGATTTTGGAATGTTTACGTGCAAGTAAATTAAATAAAGATATTATTCGTTGTGTTACATATGTATGTAAATTTTGAAATTGTGAAGACATATTTGCTAAAGCAGCAAGACAATTTGTATGAAGATATTTATCACGCATACGTGCCATATTAAATTGAATTGTACGAAGTACAACAGCAATGAGTAAACCACCTAAACTGATTTCATTTACTGAACGTTCAGTATACCTAAAAGAGAAATAAACTTGAGTTTTGATCTTACAAAGGAAATAGTTCAATATTTTAAGATGTACTGAAAATAAATGATTTTTCTCTAATTCTGGTCGTCATCATCAGTATGCTAGTGAGGATAAGAGAGCAATGTGCAATATACAGTTGAATTGACACCTTCGATAAGTTCATTTATGAACAGTGTCAGTTACAAGCCTTTATTACTGCCTCATATTCTAGTAAGACAAGCAGTCTCTATATCTTATAGTAGCAATATACTGCCCATGACTGAAGTTCTGATAGTTATGCTGTTGTACATCCATGAGACATGGGAATTAGAAAAAGCAACTGCTATCCATTGTAGTGCTTGATATCCTGTAAGACTCTACAAGGGATATATCAAAGACATAATGTTGACTTGAATTTTTACATACAAAATGATCTCATACCTTATATTCAGCATACAAAGTGATTCTTTCAGCTAACCAAATCGTTCGCGGTAAATGCAATACTTGCATTACTCGAAACGTCATCAAAACTTTGTGGTTTGTGCTCACCATATGTCTCTTATCGTAGATAGTAAAATTTAATAGAATGGTTACGATCCGGAAAGAGTACCCTATGAACCTTTCTAATGAATAAAATATCGTTAGGCATACTCTCTAATTATTTATGATAATTCACTTATTAGTCTTAAAATTTTAACGTATGGCAAGTTAATTCTGAATGAAAAAGAATAGATTTACTCGCTTAATTTATTATAAAACCATTTACATTAGTAAATATCTGTTCATAAACATTTTATAAAGATTTTTTTAGACGATATTTAAAAGACATGTTAACAACTATTCTACAGATGACCTAATCAATTTCATTTCAATTTTTTATTAGACTCAAATACTTCTATTCTTGACTGTATTATATAATTATCTATACTCGATATATTTCAATATTTATTTTAGATTAAAACTTTTTCTAATCTTATTTTATTAAGTATATTGTTTCTTTACCAGTTAAGCTTTTTTAATTTAATGTCATGAATTGATTTATTAAAATAGTCATCTTCAGATAAAATCAATAAAATAATCAATGACATATATATATGATGTGAATTATGTTCAGTTGCTGTATAAATAACTCGAAGAACTGGTAATACCTGGAAATAAACAAAGAAAAATATGAAATTTTGTACAAGAAAATGTTTTACCATTTGATCAATATTGTTTCGTGATATAACATAAGCTTTAAAATGTTGATTACGATGAAGTAACATATAAAGTAACAATGTACTTTGATCTGTATGTACTGTTTGACAAAGAACATCATATAAACAACGATAATCAACAGAAAACCAAGGTAATGGTTCCGAATCAGGTAAATTTGTTGGACTATCTAGAATAGTAATAGAAATCAATTTAAGATGTTATCATATATATATCGATTTCATTTCTTTACCTTGTGTATCAGTAAAATGTAATAAAGCTAATCGATAAGGATTACGATGTACATCACTTGTAAAATGATTGCTTAGAATCAAAAGTAAATGAATACTTTGATTTGCTAGATGTCTGTTTTGAAGATCACTTGTGTATTCAGTTGATATAGTTGTTCCTTCGGTAGCTGTTGATGCTGGTGATGAGCTCAAGCCAAGTGTAACTACAGACCATAGACTACCTATAGTACAGTAAAGATAAGGTATTACATTGAAATCAAATATGTATAGCAAATTTTCTATTGAACTATTAGTTTATTTGACAAATAGTATATGCGATATTGATGACGAGCATAGAATGAATCTTCAATTTTTTCGAAGAAATTGAACTGTAGTTTTTTACTTAATAATTTAATCAATACGAAATGAAAACTTTAGCAATGATAGTCGCTTTAACTACTTTTAATGAATTCAATATTATCGAGAATAGGCTTAATAGCTTTTCTGTACTTCAAAAACTGACAATATTCAATATATGAATCTTTTAGATAACAAAATCATTTAATATTCTAGTCAGAATTTGTCAATAAAAGAGTTCTATAATAAGAATGTATGATCAAATGAAATACTCACACGCAATGCTATGATAGAGAAAGTTTAACTTTTAAAAGTCTACTGTTAATCACGATTGTCTTCAATATACACAAAGTTATTAAACATAGTGATCAATAAAAATTTTACACACTCTACTCATTATTCCAATTTAACGAACATGATTAAATAGAAAATTTAATTGAATTCATTTTGTTATATATTCTTCAGATATACAGTAAAATTAGTTTCAAATAACTTAATTAAAACACAATCATATCGTTTCATAGAAAATTTCCATTCCAAGAATTCTTATTATTCTCCTTCTACTACATTACAATAACATACTTGCAACACTTTGTCCAATTTTAAATAAACTTCCACTATCACCCATCGATGCATTTGTTGAATCTGCTCTTAAAAATGCTGGACATTCTATTTGTTTAATAAAATGTTCTAATAAAGTTCGTGTAAATTCCGATATTAAAATTGGACTAGAAGAAAAAGATATTTTATTCATTCGAATAAAAATAAATTTCACGTACTCAAGTCTATGCATAAAAATACTATAGATAGCACTAATAAGTACAGCTTCTTTCGCACACATTTGAATCGATAATAATGAAAGTAGTGTATTCAATACTTCCAAATGTAATGCATATGTATATGATTTGACTGGTATAATAATTGTAGTTCGAAATAATGTATCAACAAATATAATCATTAATGATATACGTTCAATTGAATTATCTTGTGGTAAAAAATATGGATGAAGATTTCGTTCAGAATCAATTTCTATAAAATATTTCGTTATTGAACGAAGTATAAATAGAGCACTATATGTTTGCCAGGTGATAATATTACTAAAACAAAAAATTAGATCTTTTTTTTTGTTGTTTTAAAACATACTCATCACATTCATCACGAAGTGTTGTAGCTAAACGAATGAATACTTCGATTAATGTTCCAAAATTATTTGTTTTAGGATTATTTAATTCAAATTGTTGAAAATAAATTGAGCATGATTCATCGATTAATTTTGAATGTGATCTAATAGAAATAGATAGTTAGATATTCGGATAAAGAAATAAAGATTTTATTACGTTGTAAATGGAGATTGAAGACGAAATGAGAGAAATTGATTCCAAAATGGATCATTTGATGAAATAGATTCTTCACTGACAAAACGTGATAAATATTCATTAGATTTTAAGTCATTTAAAGAAGAATATTGTGCACCCATATTAAAAATTAAAAACTTTGTTTCAATATAATAGAAAAGTGTGTGAAAACATCGTCAATCACAAGCGATAGATGGATCATGCCTTCTTACCAACATATATAAATTCTTATGGATGAATATCCATATCCAATTAGATTTTCTTAAGCAACCTCCGATCTCTATTGACAATATTTATTGAATTTACATAAAAAAGAATAAAATTTCATATTTAAAATAAAATATAAACAAAATTTGTTTTAAGTCATGTTTTTAAATCAAATCACACAGATGTCGCTATTATGTGACAGAAATATAAAATAAACAGAAATCCGAAAGATGAAATGCCTTTGTTAATTATTACAAAATTATCGTAAAAAAAAGAGAATTTCATCATTAAAATTGATTGATCATAATATTTCAGCAATTGCATGCATAACGTAATCATTTGATAATAATATTTAAATGGTGATCATGAAAATTAAACAAAAGATAAAAATAAACTTGTTAATCATATTGAATTTCATTGCCCATTCATAAAATATATTGATCTTCGTATTTGAAGAAAGCAACTAACATGTTTCATTCAAATAATATAATTTTTAAAATGAGCATGGCATATTAAAAGTTCATATCAGGTAATTTGTAGAATAGTTCGTACAAAATCGACACAAAGACTTGTATCAGTCGAGTGAAAATTTTTATAATTTGAAAAATACATCTAAAACAAGAGAAGAATGTTTTAATTAAATAATTACCGAAAAGGAGAAACATATGTCTCGTTATTAGGCATGGGTGATACCACATCAGAACCGGAATCGGCGAGTCTGATTCCGATTGCGATGCGTACAAAATGTAAGCTGTGCGATTCCGATCTCAAGATACAAAAATTTTAGTATCGGTGCCGTTTCTGGTTATATTGTTTTAAAAAATAAAATCTTAAATTAATTGTTCCGGATTTGGATGATTTCAAAGCATTCAAAAATAATTTAAGAAAAACAAGGACCTATGAATTATTAATAACAATTAAATGTTTTTCATGTAAATGAAAAGAATGAGTAAAACTCATATGAAACAGAATTCAAAGAATTTTAACATACACGATTCCAATGCCGATCCTTAAAATTCATTTTCACGATTCCGATGCGATCCTAAAAATAAATGAAACTCTTGACGATCCGGTTCCGAAAAAAACCTGATTTTGCCCATGCCTACTCGTTATAAGACCAGTTAAATTCGTCATGTATTTGTTTAGTAACATAATATATTTTTATGATGTTGATGAATCGATTTAATCTTATATATCAATATGTAAAATTGGTTTGATCAAATACAGACAGACCTGATATATAAAAATTGTTTTTTTGTATTGCCATTCGACGAATCTCGTTGTAAGTCATGCACATAAACAAGAAAGAAATCCGAAAAAATTTAAAAGAACAATTTTTACAAAGAAAGTATGAATAAATAAGGAAGAATCAAAACAAGAATACATTGATGGCGACACCTGTTTTCGAATATGGTAATAATCTTGAAACAATCTGTCTTGTTTGGCTTGATGCAGTGGTAAATACATCCCAAGATAATATCAATGCTCAACAACAATTTCGTCAGATTATCAATCATTTAGAAACATTTCAAAATGTTCAAGATTGTAAACAATATTTACAACAAACATCAAATGATGATCGAATTTTTTTAATTGTTAGTGGTCGATTAGGTCATGAAATCGTACCTCAAGTTCATTCATATCGACAAATTTCTTCAATTTATGTTTATTGTATGGATAAAAAAAGAAATGAAGAATGGGCAAAACATTTTACAAAGGTAAATTTATTAATAAAATAAAATATTTTACAGATTATTTCGTTTCAAATATATTCTGTTAATGAGAATTCTATTTACTGTCATTCTCTTATATTTTTTGTATTAAAAAAACAGACGGTTCCTTTTCTGTTCTGTATAAGATATGCTTAGTTACATGTTATGGTTAAAAGTATTATTGACATAGACAAAAAATACTCGTACAGACATATTATTGTCAGTAATGCATTATAACAGATTTATATTTCAATCAATGTCAATAGCTAACTTATATAAATAGACGAATAACAACTTTTAGATTGTTTATGTTTTTCTATTTACCAAAGTTTTGAGGAAAAAAATCAAAATATAAAAATTATTAAGTGAAGATATAAACTGATATTATTAAATATTTCTTGCAATGTAATTGTCTGCAATTACTTACTTCTAAGATAAGCATATTAATTGTTTTCTTGTAGGTAAAAGGAGTGTTTATTAGATTCGATCAACTAAAACAACAAATTCAATCAGAACAATTAAAACGAATAGAAAACAAAGTTGATGAACCATTTCTAATGACTATGACTAAATTAAATGATATGATAGATAAATCTACAAATGAATTGAATGGTGAATTTCTTCAGTCTCAGTTATTAATAGATTGTCTTGTACGAATGAAACCAAATTTAACTGATAAAACTGAACTTATTAATATATGTAAAAATATTTATGCAAATAATCTTAATGAATTAAATTTAGTTAAAGAATTCGAAGATAATTATCGACTCAATCAAGCAATATGGTGGTATACAAGAGAATCTTTTCTTTATCGTTTATTAAATAAAGCATTACGTATTAATAATATAGATTTATTATTTCTTTTTCGTTTTTTTATTCGTGATATTCAACAACAATTAAAACGATGTCAATGTTTATTACCTGTTCGTGTTTATCGTGCACAATTAATGTCAACAGATGAATTAGATCAACTAACAAATTCTCTCGGAGAGTATATATCAGTAAATTCGTTTTTTTCTACAAGTTTAAATCGTCAAAAAGCAATAAAATTTTTAAGAGATGATTCATTTTCAAGTGATTTACAAAAAGTATTATTTGAAATTGATGCTAATTCTGAATCCGATTATTCTAAAGTATATTCAAATATAAGTTCAATGAGTTATTATTCAAATGAACAAGAAGTTTTATTTACATTAGGTTCAATATTTCGTTTATTAAATATAAAACAAGAAAGCAATGGTTTATGGGTTATTCAAATGATTTTATCGAATCATAATGATGAGAATATAAAAATTCTTTTTAATAATATTAAAGATGAATATAGTGGAATTAATAATGAAACAAGTCTTCTTTCATTTGGAAATATTCTACATCAAATGGGTAAATACGATCTAGCAGAAAAATATTTCCATCGATTAATTAATGAATTACCAAATGATCATGAGGATATTTCAAAATGTTATCATGCACTTGGAGTTTTAGCTTTACTTAAAGATAATTATGATGTAAGTCTTAATTGGCATGAAAAATCTATTGAAAAATTAAAATCAAATGATGTACATTTAGCTGATAATTATAATTGTATTGGTTGTATTTATCAAAAAAAAGAAGATTTTCCACAAGCATTAGATTATTATAATAAAGCTTTAAATATATGGACAAATACATATGGTGAAGATTATTATAAAATAGCTGATTGTTTAAATAATATGGGTTGTGTTTATGAAATTGAAAAGAATTATTTAAAAGCTTTAGAATATCATCAAAAATCATTATCAATACGTCAAAAATGTTTACCTAAATATCATTCTGATCTTGGTGCATCTTATAATAACATTGGAAATATTTATCTTCGTCTTGAACAATATGATTTAGCTTTAGAAAATTATAAATCTTCATATGAAATCAAACTAAAATCACTTCCATCTCAACATATATCATTAGCAGCAACATTAGAAAATATTGCACTTGTATATGAGCAAAAACACTTATATGAACAAGCTCTTTCATATTATAAAAAAGTAGCGACGATTTTTCATAAAACATATTCATCTACACATAATTCTGTTATTCAAATTGAACAAGATATACAACGTGTTTCATCATTAATAAATTCTCAAATGTTAACAGCCGTTTTTTAAAGTCATATTATTGTGCACAAAGAATATCTATATCTTGTTTTATATAACTATGTGTAATAAATATTTCGTTTTGATAATGTCAAATAATTATCTGTTAAAAATATTGCTTTATCTAAAAGTTCAATATCAGTTTTATGCCTTTCTTAAATTTAAATAAAAGACTTGATTAAATGATATTAACTTATCATGCTCAATATTTATATAAACAAATATTAGGGTTTAAGAATAAGTATGTACTCCATTCTATTGAAATTTTCATTAAAAAGTCCGATTAAAAGTTTACAATTAACTGGAAGCAATGGTATTTGTTTTATCGATCAACGTATGATTATTTTGGAATATTTATCCTTATATATCATTACTAATCAATTTAATTGTAATCCTAAACAGATAATAACTCGATAATATACGAGAGATTTCTTTTTTTGTGATTTTTGTTTGCAATGTATTACTGTTTATAAGTTCAACGAAAACAATAATTAATACATATTTTTAGTTCAGTATTTCTGAATATCAGATATCAATTTAACTAAATGGATCAAACATATCTATGAAAATCAAATATAGACCCGATCAAAGATATTAGCCTTGCATTCAGAATAACATCTATCGTTTTGACTAACACTTTGAAGGTATTATAAAGATTCCTATAGTTATATGTCGATAAAATTCCATCTAAATATTCTTTTTCTCTAGTTTAAAATGGAACTACTGGAATATTATATAGGATTTATTAGTCATTTCGAATCCTTGTTGAAAAGTTTAGGAGACATTGAGTCTACGCGATTTCTGTTACTTTCCACGAATATATAAATGAAGATGAGAAAAACTTCGATGCTCAGTATTTTACTGATGTATTATTTACTTTGAATATCTAATCCATGAATTGATTGATCTTATCTGACACATGAAAATACTTTGCGAGATTGTAAAGAACTAAAAACTGATGATGTAAAAAACTGAATTTTTTATTTCGAAAAGTTCTTAGAATACAAACTGTGAAAAAAATCTTGAACCAATGGTTTTATTTACTCCCAATTAAAGTTACGAAAACAGCCGATGTTGTTTCTAAGGTTTCTATAATTTTTTTATAGCAATTGATGTAGTACTATGAACATTTTTAGTTCTAGCAAGAAAAAATATGGGTTACTTCTATGGAACATTAGGAAAAATAGTTTGGTATTTTGAAGATCCAGTTTCTAAAAATTGTATGTATATTTAAGAGAAGCACAGTAATCGAAATTGGCAATATCAATACAGTAAAGACTGTACTCTCCATAGAAGTAACCATTATTTGTTTTCTTGCTAGGATTAAAGATATCCATGGTCTGATATACTGTTTTTATATTTCGACATCAACTCGTAACAAGATATCTTAAAAATGATAAACAAATAGGTGAAGTAATATAAGTGTCAAATTTTTTCCTAGTCATCATGATAAGCTATAACTTTAATTCTCAAAACAATAAATATGATCCAATCTCATCTTCTACTAAATATCTTCAATCATAAAAATTTTGAATAGTTTTTAGGACTATGAAACTCTATATCCGAACACTAATTTGTCCTTAAATAAAATGTATTAAAATTTGTTTAATCAAACTTTTATGTACATAAACTTTTAATATTAACTGAATGAATAGAGTTGTTTTTAATCAATTAAAATGTGTTGCTTCCAATAAAAAAAGGCTTTCTATTTTTTAAATTCTTTTTAAAGTCTGTTGCCAGGTGACATATATATATTAAATGCATCACATCAATTTTTTTTCATTCTTTCTAATATTTGTTATTTCGATAAACATGTCTCAACACAGTTTTATGTCACACCAAAACGATGCCTTAGAAAGAGACATAAAAAATCTTCAATTAAATTTTAATGAAATTTTAACATCAGGTAATCATTATGCAACAAAAGAAATAACAAATCATGTAAAACTTATTAATAATGCATTGGATAATATAAAACTTGATCATGAGTTTCAACGCGGATCAAAAACTTGGGCGAAACAATTTGATCCAAATGAAATGAAATCGAATGAAATGAGTAAAAAAAAATAAAAAAATAATAACTTCTTTTAAATAACAAAATATTTTTTTTAGATATTAAACAAATAATCGCACAAGGACATGATCTTACTCGTGATCTTCATACTTGTCTTCATGCAAATTCTATTCAAAATAAAGAAGAAAATCAAATGCGAGAATTACATAGTTGGACATGTGATGTATTAAATGATTATCATCAAGTAAATTACAAGAAAATATATCTCTTTTATCAATTATTTACATGTATCTTTTAGAATCTTCAACCATATGCATCGGGTTCTTATGGTCGATTAGATAATATTGCTCATCATCTTGGTGTTACCGATCGATATATTGGTTATCGACATAATTTAACTCGTGGTGGAAATCAACCAGTAAATATTCATACAATATGGGCTGATCGAAAATTACCTCGTGCAACAACAGCTGCTCAAAATCAATCAACACCGGATTGGAAAAATTGGGTTCATGCTTATCAACGTATGTATAAAATCCCCACTTCATTTAAAAGTAAACTATTTGTTTATATTAAGATTATGGCCCATCACCAACAACAACATCAAATCGACAAATGACAAATAATAATAATAATAATCCGAATCTTCTTGGTTATTTACGTCGAACACAAACAGCAGGTCTTTTAATTATCGGAAAAAGAATTCTTTTAAAAATTTTTTTGTAGACATGAAACGTCCGAGTACAACACCAAATTTTGCTTCGCGACCACAAGTCTATGAAAGTTATCATGATGGAGAACTTCGTAAAGCAGGTATGGTTACAAAATTTCCAGGTAAAACTGAATTTATGGATCGATATAAAAAGCCACAACATGTACCGTATTCTGACTTTACAATTAATCCTCAACCTGATTTTACATTACCTGGTCGACCATTAGCTCGTGTTATACCTGATTCATTCAATAGTGAATATACACGCAGGTAAGATTTATTGAATTAAATTCAATCTTTTACTTTCAAAAAAAAACATATTTATTTTTAGTTATCTTTTTCCTGATTCAGCAAAACTTGAAAGATTTCCATGGCTTCGTTCATAGTAAATCAAACAAAATTTGTCTTCCATATCCATTTTATACACTTTACAAATTAACGAATGAAATTAAATAAAAAACAGACTGAACATTTTTATTTTTCAAATAAAACAGTTAATCTATCAAGTTTTAGTAAATTACGTTTCGAATCAAGTGCCCATACTTGACTATCATCCATTGAAACTTAAAAAGAAAAACAAATTTTTTTTTATAAAAATTTAAAATATAATCTATTATAATACAAACCAGTGAGTGAAAGGAAACGACCAGATAACGTTGTTGATCGTGTTCCAATTGGATTTTCTACAGAAATATTTTCTCGACATTGAATTTCTCCACAACTTGTTAATACCCATAATGTATGTTCACTAATAGCTAGTTCAAGAGCTGAACAATCTATTATGAGGAAAAAAAATCAAGTTAATTCATTCATTCATAGAAAGATTTGTTTACCTTCAATAGGTTTCCATGATGTTCCAACACGATTTTCTTTGTTAACACCAAGTCGTGCATAAATATTTTGTTTATTATCAGTAGCATACACCTGAAAAAGTAGATCAAGAGAAATAATATACCGTCATTCTTGTAGGAATTGAAAAAGAAATCCAGGCTTTAACGACCCCTCATATTGACTAATGCCCTTGAATATGACCTAATAAACTGCACACAGTAGCTACTCAATTAAGTAATCATTGATTTCTCTTGATGAATCAACAGTTATATGAAAGAAATACAGAAGGAGTAAAACCAGTGGCGGATTTAGGGGAGGGGAAGGCAATGGGGGTGATCGCTTCTTCCCTTCCGAATTTGTTTTTGATTTTTTACAGCAAAAATGAACGAAAAAATAGATTCACACTACTTCGAATGGACTCAAAAAATAGCTTTTAGCCAAAATCGCCCTCCCCTTCCAAAATCCTAGATCCGTCACTTAATAAAACTGATTCTGTGGAAGCAAATATCTTTTATATTACCATCCAATCAGCTGGTCCACAGAAAACTTGTGAAAAATATCGATGCCGTCTTGCTTCTCCAGGTATAGTAATCCAAGCTGGAAGTAAGAATGATAATTCATTTACATTAACATATTGATTAGCAGATATATGTCCATGACGAAAATGAATAGATCCTTGATCATCAACTGCCCAAACTCCAGCATGATTACATACCATGTGAACTAATCTTCGAGTCCATTCTAAATAAAAACTATAAAAATTCTTTTTTTCTCTATAAAAAAAACTTGATCTATCTCACCAAATTGACTTTGATCTAATTGTTCCCATACGGTATCTGTATCAACATTAGCTCGTACATAAATATTACAAGATTCATCAAGTGACCAAAGAATAGTATCTAATACAGAAGATAAAATAACAATAAATATAAACAACAAATTTTTTACTATGAGAAGAATTATTTGGAACAAATGTTGCATGTGTTATATATTGAGCTTGACGTGGTTTTTCAAGTATTTGACCATTTGATGAAGAAATCATTTTATCCGTTGTTAATGCCCATACATAATCTAAAGAAAATAATATTTAATAAAACAAAAAAAATGTGAATACATACTTTCATTTGAAAAAGCTCCAATTAAACGTTGTAAACGAGTATTTTCTTCAATTACTGTCCATTTAATACCTTAAATAATTTTATATAATTTTTTCGAAGACTGATTTATTCTATTTACCTGTTAAAGAATCCGAAAAAATCTGAATTTGTTCTTCACAATCAGTTAAACATAATAGTTCAGAATTAATACTAATTAAATATCGTTGATGAGACATTTGAATATCATCATTACATAAAACTTCAAAATATCCTTTATCATTTGACCATTGATGTATCCACAGTCGATGTTTTTTATCCATAATACAAATAACATCATTATTCGTTAACAATACAAAATCATCAATTGGTCCAAGTCTAAAGTATAAACTTCAAAATCCTCTTCTCTCTAATTCTTTTATTTATAACAGACGTATAATCAATAAAAATCCATCCATCACCTTCAGGACAATCATTTGTACATCCAACACGTATTAAAATTTCTTCATCACTTGTTATAACACCAACTTTTTCCGAAAAACAAAAGACTCGTTTTAAATTAAATGGACAATTTACATTTATTAGTCGATTAATATCATTATCTGTTCGAAGTAACCATAATGTACCATTTTCTTTAATATACCTATTAACAAAAAAACAAATAATATCTTCATATTTTTTTGGATACATACCATCCACATTGATCATTAATTGACATACTTAATAATGATGCACCAAGTTTTATTTCATTCCATTGTGAACCAATTGGAGGAAATTTCAATGGATCATTTGATGAGTAAAGACGTTTATTTAAATAACGCCATACTGTTCGATTACTTACACTTACCATAAGTCGTTCAGCGAAATCAGAATGTTGTTGCCATTTGAGTGGTAAACTGATATTGTCATTATTTAATTTTGCATAGAAAATTTTTCGGTCATGAGTACAAATGTATATATAAGTTGATGAACAAATCATATGAGAGATTTTTGTACCTAATGGAATTGAATGATAATTTACAATAGAAAATCGTTTTTTTTCTATAAGTTTTGTTTCTTTTAATATGGTAGAAGTTTTATTATCTAGATCATTGATTGATAATTCATCACTAAATGAATCAATTTCTGCTGAAGAATCAATTGTGATAATCTCGGGAGTAATATCTAAACTTGATACGGATGGTAAAATATTTTCGACTAGACTTAAAGTATCCGATTGTTGGGATTGATTGGTTTTAAATTTATTTAATATATTTGTATCTTGTTTCGATGTTAGAGGTTCTTCATCTGAATCTGAATCAACATCCATTGATGACATAAGTTTACGTAATTCAGCTAAAGATGTGGATGTTTCTAAGGGTTTTTCAAGAGGTCGATGTACTGGAACATCTTTTGTATTCAATTTATCAAATGAATCTTCGAGTTCATTTGGCGATGTTGCTATAATATTTTCTGATGTAATCGTGTTTGATTCATTTGAAATCGAATGTTCAATGGGCGACTCAAGTTCATCTATTGATGATGGCGATTCAGCATCTATTGTATTTATTTGTAAATCTTCAGAGACAATAACTTCGAATGATGTAGTAGTGATATCGGCTGATGTCGATAATTCTTCTTCCGTTTTATTAATCTCAACGTTTTCCGAATGATCTTGTACGATTTCAGTTTCATCGATATTTGTGAACGCTCGTTGTTCATCAACTTCTGCATTTATCGAAATATTTTGTGAATCGTCTGTTACGTTTGTATGAAGATTTTCTGTATCAATTTGTTCGATTGGTTCATCGGCAGTGTTAGTCAACGATGGCAATTTCACGTCTTCCGTATCTATTTCACTAGTTTTTGTATTAGATTGATCGATTGATTCATTCGTTAGCATACTATCGTCATCTGATTCAGTATCAGATGATATAAGTTCCTCCTTGTTAATATCGGTATTATCATTAAAATGACTAGTTGAATCTTGTTCGGATATTAAATTTTCTTTTTGATATGTATCGATCAGTACAATATTTTCAACTAATTCATCTATAGTTGATATTATATCAATTATGTCATTTAAACATTCATTAATATTTCCTCGATCAACTATTTCAGTGATTATAGTGTTTAAACAAAGTAGAATATCTTTCTGATTATCTCTTTCTTTAATAGAGTTACTTCTTTGTTTAGTACTTGAATCATTGTAAGAATCTACAGATACAGATGGATTGGTTATAAAAACTTATGAGTAATAAATTTATTACCCTTATGTGCAGTATATTCAGATCCTTCACTAGGTTTTTTTGATGTACGTCGTTTCCCTTTTATATGTCGAACTGTAGGAGGTTCTACAGGGGAAGTCGATATTGTAGGAGTTTCTGTTATTATCGGAATAGTTGGTAAATCTAAAAGAAGTCAATCATATATATATTTTGTTTGTTAACACGAACAAAACAAGAGAAACTGACTTATAGGAGGTGGTTTTACTACAGTTAAAATTTTACCATCAGGATTTTCTTCAGATTTTCGCCATATTTCTTGTTGTGGAGGTTCTGCGTTTGCTGCTTCGGCTACTCGACGTTGTCTTGAATTTTAGAAAAAAAATAAGCAGATTATAAATAGTAATGTATAGAAAATAAATATAAGCACCTTTCGAGGTCTTCCTGAGCTTCTTTAAGTTTTTTATCAAGTGTATCTGTAGCTAGTGCTATCTGAGTTTTTGCTTTTCCTAGTGCAGATTGTGCGCGAGTTCTAAATCCGCTCATCCAACCATTATTTGATGTCATAACTTTAAAAAAAGACACAATTTCTTAATAATAAATATCTATTAAGTGAACTTATAACAATGTTGACTCACTTGATTATTTAGTTCTATCTTCGTACTTTTGTTTTATTAAAATGATGATAAATAGAGAAGAAAAAGAAACAATGAGAAAATGATAAGACTATATATATATATTCGTTCTGTATATTTTTCTTCTTCACGAAACTAAAGAAGAATAGATAAAATAAAAAAAAAGGAAAATTATGCAATAAAAATACAGAAAACTACGAATAAAAATTTTTTATGTTTGACTGAGTGATTGAGTTCGTGGTAAATTTAAAGATAAATCTGGTATTGAATTACTTGCAGATCGTTCAGATCGTCGTAGATCTGGTATAATTGAAGGTGATTCAGATACTGATGCAAGACGATATGGTGTTGTTTGTGGTATTTTCTGAACAACAGGTATTGCCCATCTAACTTGATGTTCACGATTAAATTCAGGATTAGGAACGATCCTGGAAGGTGTTATTCGTGTTGTTGGGGGTTGTAAATGATTCATAGACACTGGTTCTGTTCGAAATCGTTGTGTATTACGTCGTTTTATTAATTCCTGTGGACGAGGTTGTACACCTCTTGCTAATACTGGTAATACTCGACTGTTTGTTGGATTTTCTGACTGTAAGACAAAATTACGAATTAAAAAATAATGAAATATCTAAAATTTTACTTTGAGTTGTATTGGTTGGACAGATGTAATATCAACATTTCGATTTGATACATTTGCTAATTGAATAAAGAACAAAAAATAGGTCAGAAATAATGAACACTCATGTTTTTACTTTCTCTAGATAGACGTCGTTCAGGCGGCGGTGATGCTTTCGGTGCATTAGTATTAGTTGGAAAATATAATGAATGATTTGATTCCGTTCGTTTCACTCTAGGTGGACTTTGAGATTGAAGTTCATAAAGTGAATGACGTTGAGCATTAACTGAATTATTATATAAAAAAGATTTGTTTTGATTAAAAATAAAAGAATTTTTTATTAAATACAAACATTCATCTTTTAATGTACGAGTTTTTGCTGGTTTACTACGAAATCGACCTTCATTTGTGATAGCAACAACTTCCATTGTATATGCTGTATCTGATTTAAGCATTGTTGCATGAAATTCTTGAGCTTGACCTGAATATATAGGTATATCTTGTCGATTACAATAAAGTTCATAACGAGTAAAACGACCAGCTATAACTTCTGGTGGTTGCCATTTAATATGTATTTCACGTCGACCTATTACGGAAAATGTGGGTGGTGCTGGATTTGAATCACCTATAATAAGAATAAAGCAAAAATATCATTTTCTATCACAATAGTTTAATTAGAAACCTACCTGTTGAAGCAGTTACTACATTGATTGATGCTCGTGGTCCATTGCCTTTACTAGTTACTACACATACATCAATTTTATATGTTGTACTAGCTGATAATGAACCAATGGTTATCACACATTCAGTTGTACGTTCATGTTCAACATCATCTAAATAGATTTCTTTTCATTTATTCATAAAATAGTTTTAAAACTTACTTAAATATGTTTGATAACCTTTTACTAAATTACATGCAGAAAGATCTGGTGAGTCCCAAGAAACACGAACTGCTGTCATTGTTGCTCGTTCAACATGAAGATTATTAACAGGTGGAGGTACTGAACGTATAAAATCAGTTATTTTTATCATTTCCAAGTTAACTTACATTCATCATCTGTATGAAATATCGTAGGATCACTACGAATATTTTCACCTTGAGGTGTAATATATTGAATTTGTACATTGTAATTTGTATTTGGCTGCAAATCTTTTAAACTATAATTTGTGGTATTTGTTACACCAATTGATTGATTATCTGTAAAATTTAAAAATCGATGTAATTAAATGAATAGATTTTAGATTAGAAAATAGATCTATTCCATTCGAAAGTATATAAATCATTTCTCTGATCTCTTATAGGAAAAAATAATCTTGACGTTATACGTTCTTCATTATTGTAGATATCTTACTGAGAATAATTCGAAATTGTAATGCAGCATCATCCCAACTATTTACATTTATATCCCATGAAATCTCAGCAGATGTATTTCGACATTCTGATTAAATTAAAAAATGAAAATTATTATTTAGAAATTGAATATATTTTTTCTTACCATCAATTTTTGGTCGATTAGGTTTTATATTTCTATGTAATAAATACCAAAGACCTCTTGCTTCTTCTTGAATATCTTGATATTTATTCCATTTATCTCGTATTTGTTTTAATTTATCGATTATAGTTTTTGAACGAAGTATATGTTCACTTGCTCCATCATGTCCTGCAATTGTTCTGAGACACCTATTAAGAAATTCTATGTTTTTATCTTATAAAAAATTAAAAATTTCAATTTTACATTAAAGCAAACCAAACAGTTTCATGTTCAATTGATATTAATAATGTTTCAATAGCTAAAATAATTCGATGAAAAGTTGGTAAATATTGTAGACATAATTGAAAACCAAATTGTGTTGTACATAAACAACTTAATGCATAACAAGCATTTTTATTTACACCTTTTTCTTCATTAACTTCAAGCATCAATAATAATGCATCAAACTTTTTTAAATTAAAAGTCAATAATAGTTTTTTTTGTAAATTAAACTTACAATTTTATATTGTCCACAATCAGAAATTAATGTTTTTTTTCCATCATCTCCTTCTATTAAACGTCCTATAGCAAAAGCAGCATTTGTTGAACGACCTGGATCACTAATATCAAGTGCTGATAAAATTTGATTTAGAATTTCTCGATGTTTAGAATGTGTTAATATTATTTTGCAACCAATTTCCTCAACAGTGATTCTAAATAAATAAGATTGTTTGAATAAAATCTTTTTTCTTTCATTTCTAACCTAGCTAATATTAATCCAACATTACTAGCAATCCAAGAATTAGTAGAAGATAATAATGATGATGTATTTATAATCAACTGGTTAATACAAGTATGATTTAATAATAAATCACGTCCCTCTTTTGAACCGCACTGAAAGATAGAATAAAAATTGAATTCTATTCATTGTTAGAAATGAAAGCGAGAAAAAAAAATCTGTGACAGTTCTTAGTTTTTAGTCAATGAAAAGAAATTTTTCAATGTTTTTTTTTGTTTTTTAGCTCAAATTGTCACAGATTTATAGTGTGAAACGTACATACTATAGTACCAAGTGTTCCTGCAGCATTCAATACACATTCCGAATCGGAATGAGTTAATAATTTGCATAATACTTGTACAATATCAACAGTGTTTGATGTTCGATTTCTGGAAAAGGCAGTGAAGAAATGTGTTAATCCTAGTTCTGTTCCAACTGTACTACCCATAATATAAGCACTATTACCACAGATACTAGAGTAAAATATATAAACGTATATTTATATAAAAGAATTTTTCTTACCGATCGTCTTCATTTAATAACAATTGTGCAATAGAACGAAGAATATCATTTACAGTTTGTTCGTTAAGAAATTTTTCTATAGTCCTATGTGAATCACGTCTTAAATCATCAACAAAATATTCTAGTGCATGACGAATATTTCTACTCATAGAATTGCTTGTTGAATTTAAATTATTATTAATTCCATGGTTTATATCTGATTTCTCTTCATTTGATACAAAACGTAGAAAATAATTTTTACGATCAAAATAAAATTTATTATTATCTACATTCGCCATATGTTGAAGTCTGAGTATCGAAATAAGAAAATGTTGTTTATTTCTTCTGTTGCGTCTCTCGATTCTTATCAGTACTTCAAATGAAAAAGGAAAAAAAGAAAAAAAAAATGAAGAAATAGTCACAATGACGATGAAGGTGTGCGTTTTGTGTGAACATGTATTTTTTTTCTATGTTATTGAAGTGTATTTATTATTCGAAGAAAGTTAAAGAATAAAAAAAAGAAAATGAATAATGAAAGACAAGTGATTTATAAGTTAAGTTTTTTCTTTTCTGTTTGCCAATCAAATCAAACAGTTCAGTAATCAAAGTGAAGTCGTTCTTGGCAGACTTGATCAACGGCTTGGTTAATAGTAAAATCATATAAACCAATTTCACATAAATTAGCCATGATGTAGAGTTTGTTAAGTACATATTCATTCTAAAAAAAACATATTAGAAAGAATTTTAACTTTTTTTTAAAAGAATAACTAACTGGAAGATCGAAACATTTTTCCTGGACACGTTGTGTAACTGATTTATAACATGCATGTTGTGTAAGTGGCATATGTTTTTCAGTTACCATTGCGAAATAATCACCACGATTCATTGATAAAGCTTTTGCTGCGATTTGTTGAATATGATTTGCAATTGTAGCTTTATCCTAAAAGTAATCATCAATTGTATTGAATTATTGGTTAAATATATTTCTAATACATACGTTAAGTAATTGAACAAGTTCACGTTCTAAGTTTTCTTTTTCAATTGAATTTTCTTTGGCTTCAGCTAAACGACGTGTAACAATTGCAACACGAACATCTTCAGTAGCTACAGCATCACGCTAGAAATAATTCATAAAAAAAATTTAGAATTTCCTGGATAAATTTCGAATTAATTCGTACACGAAGCATTTCATTGTATTTCTCTTTAAGGATGTTACGTTGTGGTTTATTTGAATTGCTGCTTGCACCTTGGAATTGACCAACGGTATCAGCTTTACCTAAAGCCTAAACGAATAAAATAGAGACGAAATATTTTATAAATTATTTCTCTTACAAGATCACCATATTGCATAACATGACTTGTATTTGTTTTCTTTTGTGTAATTTGAAATTGTTGAAATAATGTTTCTGTGTCAATTTTTTCAACATCGGAATCTTCCATCCAAACAACTGAATAAACATCACCTAAATATGTTTGTCGTTTAGCATCATAATAACAAGCATATGATGATTCTTCAGCATTTGATGCTGTTGTTCCATATACATTGATATTGTTTGGAAGAATATTTTCAAGCATTGAACCTGATTCACATGCTTCGATATAGATAACCATCTGTAGTAAAAGAAAAATCGAGATAAAATATTTGGAAATTTTTTACTAACTTGTTTGTATTTATTTTGGCTATGCATTTTCATGATGGTTGAATTTAAATCTGTGGCATAGAGCTATATGTATATTAAAATAGAATCGTTAGTTTTAGAAAAAAAATGTATACGTACAACACCGGTTGGAAAAGCAACGAGGCCTATAATGAAGAAAATAATAAAATAGAATGAATTTTTTGAATAAATCATTGAACTTACCAACAGCACCATGATCAGTATAAAAGATGAAGACATTATCATCTGGACCACTAAAATAAATAATTGTTAAGACTTTTTTAATGAATTTTTGATTGAAATATAGATTCTTACCTTTCTAAGACTTTACCACTGCCAATACCATTCATGGCTTCTTTGTTTCCAAGTAAAACATTGATGAAATTCTTTGGTGTTACATCCTATATAGAAATAAAATGAATATTTTACTATTGAAAACCGTAAATATATCATGATCATACTGCGCCGGTATAATCTTTTGGTACACCATGGTAAACATCTTCTCCATCTGGATGATTAATAATAACACCTTTTGTTGGATTTCTTAAAAACAAAATTTGTAAAATGCGTTTTTTTATATATGCACTTAACGTACTGTGTATTTTGAGCAATGTCATCGTACATCATAACAATGATGTTGGAGTCTGGGATGCCATTTTTATGTAAAATTTGATAGGCATGACAAGCATCAGCTTGATGACGATAATTGTAATAACCATTGGAACCAGCAACAACCACGGCCCAATTAGCTGCTGAAGTACAACTAATTCCAAATAAAACAAGACTTGCAACGAGAAGAACGAATTGTCGTTGCATTGTATAGGTGTAAGCAAGTGTTGACACAATAAAAATAAAAACAACCAAATGAAGACAAAAGAACTTGGAGGCAGTTGAATTTATCTGCCTAAACACGGACTATAAGATACGACTAAAGATGAATCGTCATTGATGATATTGCACCACCTGTGCGTATTTTTAGTCCTAAAAAAAATAAAACACACGTTTATTATCAACACAACATCGAGCAAAACAATGTCGAATGAGGCATGTGACTCCGCACACATGGAGGGAGAGAGAGAGAACGAGCATAAATTTTGTTTGAAGTGCATAGAACAGAACAAAAATATATATATATATTTATATTAACTTGGTCATCATTGACGAATTTTGACCGATATATATTCTAAGTGGTGTTAATGTATAAAAAATCTTGATAAGATAAAACATTGTCAAAATATGATTTTATGAAGTAAAATTCTTTCACATTCATTTTTCATTTACAAACTCTTCGAATTAATTATAGTAGAAATATGCATTGTAATTTAAGATAACACTTCTGAAATGATAAATTTGTTTGTTAGTTTTACTTATCAATCTTTATTTTGTTATTCATGTCTCAAGGTTATTTTTAGAGATTAATGTATAATTTATCCTTAAGAAATTTAAAAAGAAGAACGTAAAATGTCAGTTTAGTGCGTTATAATTCTTTACGACCAATAACACGAATCGCACAAGCATTCGTTATACCATATCGTCTTAATTTTTCTTGTTGATTTTCATGTAAATCTTGTCCCTTAAATATAATACGTTGATTTTTTATTGGAATAATAAATTGTTTTTCTATTTGTCGTTGAAGATCTTCAACAGTTGGATCAGGAGAATTTGTTGTTAAAATCATCTCATATATATCACCACCATGATAAACTTGAAATTTAATAGAAAGCATTTGTTTAATTGCAAAGATCAGTGATTCAATTGAAAAATTTCCTACAAAATCTTCTTGTTTTCTAACCTTGTCTGTCGTTGTTTAACTATTTTCTTTTTGTTTTAAATGAATTTCTGCATGTTTCTATTTGCTTTTTAAAATAATACAAAAGCGTAGCCATACATAAATTTGTTTTAACACGATCAACATTTCAAAAAAAAATGTCTTTTCAGTTTATTTACAAACTCAATTCGAATACATAACACAAACACCGAGAATTAAAAAAAAATATATAATATATATTTATTCCAAAATACATAAACTCTTATTTCTTATTTTTTTTTATATAATTGAGCAACAAATAAAAGAAAAAAAAATGGCACTGTACTAGATAGGAAAAAAAAGCAGAAAATAATTATAGAACAAATGGTGGTGTTTGATCTTCTATTTTTGCTCTATTTGCCGATTGTACAATACGATCACGACGTTGTGTTTGATGAAAATCAATGTCTGTATAAAGTTTTGTTGATGATTGTTCTGAACTTTCACGTTCTTTTTCATCACAATCATTTATTTCATCATCATTATTATCATCCAAATTCATTATCTGTTGTTGTTGTTGTTGTTGTTCATTAGTATCAGGGTTTTCATTATTTACATGTGATGGTATAAGTAAATCAACATAATCTAACGAATTTTCGGATGTTGGTAAAGGAGTATTTAAAGTATTAATAGATGTTGATGGTGTTGAATTCTTTTGTGGTAATGGTTCAACTAATGCATATGGATCATTAGAAGAAGTTTCTTGTTCATCGATATGTGATAATTGTGGACGTGATATTGATGATGTTAAATTAAATGATGAAAGTCGTGATAAATTTGTTTGAATTGTTTCATCATTCCTTACTGCTGGTAATCCAAGTAGATATGTTGTTGCTTGATCATGAATATGATCTTCAAAAAATATAATCGAACCATGAGGAGTTCGAATTGAACCGGAAGTTGTGTCACCATTATTATTTGTTGAAACAGATAATGTAGGATATATATGTGCATTTGATGAGGATAGAACACTATCGAATGGATAAACAGTTGAACCTTGTTGTTGAGGCATAGACATAAGACTTAGATCAGAATTAAGACGACGATCAAGAGCTGAACCTTCTAATATTGGACTTGTTGGGCGTTCTGTTTGATCATTTGGTATTATATCGTTTTTATTGAATGTAACAATACCATAGGAAAGAAATAATGATTGTTGAGAATTGGATACGGAATTGACTTGAGGAATAGAACTGAAATTAACAAGAAAAAAATAAGATCGATTGAAATTCAAGAGAATCAACAAACCTCGAACTATTTGGAGAAGATGTTATTAAATCGGATGTTGTAGCTAGAGAAAATAGATCTTGATTAGAATTCTAATAAAATAGATATTATTATTATTATTACCATAAGTATTACTCATTGATGGACCATTTAATTGTGTTTTAAATGGTTGCATCACACTAGCAGGTGAAGTAAATGAACGTTGACCAATAGGAAAAAGAGTTTTTTCTAAAAATTATTCAAGACGTATTACAATATTAGAATTTTTTATGTTTAATTTCTTACCATCAGCAATAAGATGAACGGAATTACCAACTATAATTGCTGAGCGAACACAAGGCGATAAACTTATTGTGGCTAAAAGAAAAGAATATATTACATTTCGTTTTTAGATAACTTAGTAATAGAACTAAATTGATTTTATAACTATCAGTGGCGGATTTAGGGTTGGGCGATGAGGGCAGTCCCCTCCGTTCAGAAATTTTTTTAGATTTTTTACAGCAAAAATAGGTTCACGCTACTTCGGCTGGACTCAAAAATAGTTTTCAGCTGAAATCGCCCCTCTCTTCCAAAATCCTAGATCCGCCACTGACAACTATTGAATACCATTTAATTATCAAAAGACATATATGACTTACTATTAACACCAATCTCTGCAGTTGCTGTTGTTTCTTTACCAATAATTTCATCTTCAATTTTTTCTTCTAGATTTGAATCTGTTCTATGAATAGTTGGTCCCATATCAATATATGTTCCCATTGTAGTATCTTGTTTAGTTGTCGATGGTGATGTTAATGTTGTTTCACCAATTTCTTTTGGTATTATTGCCGGAATATTTGATGTTAATTCATTTTTCTTCTGAGATTCAGGTAGAATAATTTGATGTTGATCATTATGAAAATTATTTTCATCAATATTAAATGCAACAGATTTATTTTTTGGTAATAATGTATTTGTATTTGATGTTAATACTTGTTCATTGTTATTAGTATGATTATGATTATTATGATGAAATGTTGCTGATCGTCGTAAATGTGAAACATTTTTTGTTAATGTACGAAAAAATCCAACAATAAAACGTGATTTAATATCATTTGATGTTGTTCCTGTTGTTGATGATGATGATGTTATTTGTGAATCAATTTGTGTTGTATCAATAGATTTTTTTTTCAATAATGGTATTGGTGAATCTATTAATGGTTGATTCATTGTATCATGTGTAAGTTGTACAGGTGGATGAATATTTTTTGATTTTTCAATACGTTTATTTGTTAATAATTGATTTTGAAATGCTGATGAAAGTATTAATGGGCGTTCTTCAATAACTGGACTAACTAATAAATGTATTGTACTTGCTAATGATGATGAATGACATTTCATATGTATTTCACCATTACCATAATTCGATTTACCTAATTCAATAAGAAATATATTCGAACGATTTCCATAATTTTTTATTGTAAAATATGGTACACATAAAATTGCTTTTTCTTTTGATGGACATTGATTTGTAATTGTTATTTTTAAATCAGTACGATTACAATTCATTGATGCTATATAAAGATCAGTTGTAGTAAAATAAAGACGTGCTGGACCTATTAACATATGATCACGATGTATAATTGGTCCATATGGAATTAAATTAACATCAAATGTATGTAGAATTTGTTCAGTTGTTGATGGACATGGTAAAATAGGTTGTTGTTGTGATTGTGATTGTGATGGTGGTCCTGGTTGAGATTGTGATGGATCTTGAGATGAATTATTATTTATTTCGGATGATTTTTCTGCTTTACTGTGATACATATATTCAAGATGTTTAATAATAAGAGATTTTTTATCAAAATCTTCATCAGAAAAAAATATTGATACTGTATACGATTCAAAATAAGCATAGATATATGCTTGAAAATCATTTTTAACTGTATCAAAATATTCAAATGATATACATTCATTTAATGAATATGATGATGGTTGAGAAGATGAATTTGATTTTCGAATTATTTCAATACATGGTTGATCAATTGAAGAAGATATTGGACAACTTTCAACAAATGTTAAATAGATATGACGTTTGGTTTTCTAAATAAACATAAACTTTATGTTAATATTTTATACACACGAAAATGATAAATAGAACAAAAAAAGATACTTGTTAAGATCATTGTGGTTTCGAACTAGTTTAAACAGAAAAGGTCAAATTTAATTTAGATGAAAACATAGACACGTATTCAATTTGTCAGCTTTTTTTTTAAGTATATGCATATTGCTCTTTTCAGGTTTCTCTAGTATTTTTAGAATATACATAATAAACCATAAAAATTTACTAAGATGAATCAAGAAAAAGAATATGAACAAACCTTTTTCCTTTGAGTGCAGATAAGTTTAATATCACTTAATGTTTGTGGTGTATTAGAATTTGTTGTTGTTGTTGTTGTTGCTGCTGTAGTTGTTGTTTCAATTCCAGAATTTGTTGTTGTGGTTGTTGTCGTTGTAGATGCGGTTGCAACAATATATGATGGTGGATGATTATTATTTACTGTTGAGGAAGTTGTAACAAACATTTTCATTAATTTCTTTTTTTTAAAATTACATGGCCTCTAGAATAGAACAAAAAATACATATTGTTTTATCTATTCTGACGTTGTCTTTTTTGTTTCTTTTTCTTATGCACCAGAACAGATATCTGAAGGGAAAAATAAAAAACACGAAAAACGAACAAAAAATATAAAATAGTTCGATTAAACACATTATAGGTGATCATTATTTCCATTTGTTAATATATCAAATTCGGAATAATTATCATTTGTATCATTTGTATCAAATTGTAATTGTAAAGATTGTTGAATAGGTAAGGAAGAAAATGTCGATTGATAATCATGAGGTGTCAAAGGTGTTTGAGGAGTTTCAGGTGGTGATGAACCCGTTGATGTTTGATGTTTATATATTGCCATTTCAGCTTGATAAACATTTTTCTTTTCACATGCTGCTTGTTCATATTTTGTTTTTAATTCAGCAGGTGCGTTCTTCCATCGAGTACCAAGTTCACGTGCGACATCACTAACTGACATGCCTATAACAAAAAAAAAAAGAGATAAGATATTTCGAATAAAATTCAGTGAAAAAAAATATCTTGGTATTAAATTTACTTTTGTCTTCTCATGTACTTTCTAAACCCTAGTATAAAAACATTATCAATATCATTTTATTTTCTACTATTATCTTCAATTTTTCGTAAATTCTTTTACATTCTAGATATCCTACAGAACAAAAGAAAATAGATAACAAATGAAACTATTTCATATATATCATCATGACTAGTACACATAACTCAAATCAGAGAAAAAAATTAGATGCGGTATAAATAGAATAGTATGTAATTGTATCATTCATGTTACATCACATACATTCTAATGTGTACCAATGTTTTTTTCAACTTACTTATCTTCTATGTTAAATTGAATTTATCAATTATATATATTTAATTGATTATGTGGAAAAAAAATACTTCAATAAAAATATATGTATCGATGTCTACTGTTCTTTTATTCTACAAGACGAACATTATTTACATATTCATGTGCTCTTGTAAGATATATGAAGATCAAGTTGACATTGAAAACTCTTATAAAATATTTTTTTAGAAAAATTACAAGTATTGATTTTATAATACATCAGAAAATGAACTAATATTAAACAAAATCCAAGTCAGTTTTTCATACTGATGATGGTAACAACAGAATTATTGTAACATCGAAGAAATATTTAGTAAAATTCATCGTTTCTGTCATAAATTAAAACGATATAGATCGATTTAATTCTAGATTTCTATCTTGTATATCTATTATTTACCTGATTGTGAACCATGAACTTTCGGTCGTTCATCAGCACAAAAAAGAAAATAAGCTGATAATGGTTTTTTTGGTGCAAGCGGATCTTTTGGTTTACGTTCACGTTTTTTTGTTATTTTTTTCGGTGTATTCACAATTGTATGTTGTGCTGATGTTGGCATAATTAATGTATGCTGTTGTTGTTGTTGTGATGGTTCAACAAGATATTGTGCTGATGGTGTTTGAAGTAATATTGATGATGCAACCGATTGTTGTTGCAGTAATTTAGCTGATTGTTCTTGCTGATAAGTAGCAAGTTCTTCTTTATATCGTTTACGTTGTAAATCAGCTGTTTCATTAAAACGTCTTTTTTCATTTTCATTCATTGCTTTCCAACGTTCAGAACATTTTCTTGTAATAACATTATAATCAACAGTTAACTGAGGATATTTTCGACGTAATTCATCTCGACATGTACGAACAAATAATGCATAAGCTGTTATTGGACCCCGAGGTTTATTTGCATCCACAGGTTTTTTAGGCATAATTACAAATTTAAATAAAACAAAAAAAATCAACAAAATATTTACATATATATTAAAACGTATAGAAACTTTTAAGGATGAATGATTTTTTCTCAAAGAAAAAGGAAACAGGTATAAACAACAACAATCAAATAATAATTATATATCGAAGTGTCCGATTAGTCAGATGGAAATGAGTGCGCTACAATCAATGTTAAAATGATATTTGACAGGAGGCTGAAATCAAGTTTTTTATTGGTTAATAAGATATGATTTGTTATTGAGCATCAGGAGACGTGAAAATATTTTGTTTTTTTATCAAGATAAAAAAAAACTAAGATTATTATTTTGTGATTTTCAATGACAAATTCACCAGTACCAATACGACGTCAAAGTCAAACAGAAATATTGACAGAATCAACAAATATTCGAACATCAACACCAATATTTAATACATTAATTTCAGAAAAATTTGATCTATCGAATTCATTGAAAGTTAATGAAGCTTTGAATAATTCAACGACATCTCATGTGGATGAAAATATTGAAAATGATGCTGTATGTGAAAAAAATATTGAATTTATTTGAATATTAAGAGATTTTTTAGAAGGTCTTATACGGAGACATTTCAGCATCCTATTTCATATCTCTAATAAATAAATTTGGTGTAAGATGTTAAGAAAAAGTATAGTCGATGAATCAAATTTCTTTAAAGAAGACCTTGATAGAATTATTTCATTCTGTAATGTACAATATTACATAATTAGACTTTCTGATCTTTTTGTGAACGTTTGTTGACATACTGAATTCGTTGAAACTATTTCGATTAAAGTGATCAGTGCTGCATGTCTATTATATAGATAATTTTCAAGCTATACTTATCATATATTTAGATTGCGCCACTTTTTGCATCATTTGCGGGTGATCCAACTGAACATCGGACAACGTAATTGAATTGTCGTTATTAAAAATATGTAAATGATTGAATTTTCGTTATATTTAGAAATACGGAGACATTAATGCATTTAATTAAAGGTAATATTGGTGCTGGTATTCTTGCTTTTCCTTACGCACTATCAAAAGCTGGATTAGTTGTATGTTTTGTTTTTCTTTGATTCATTTTGTTCTATAATCCTATTTAAATAGTTTGGTCCTATTGCTTTTTGGATTATGGGTGCACTAACACTTTATTGTATGCATCAATTACTTCGTTGTCATGAATATTATCGATTTCAGTTAATATACGAACAATAGAAATTTATCAATAATTTTCTTTTGATTATTGTTCTTTTAGTACATCAAGATCTAAATGTGACTTTGGTGATATTATGCGATATACATTAGAAACATGTCGTTGGAAATTTGCTCAACGTCATGCAAAATTGGGAAAGTAAGAATATAAGTTTTAAATGGTAGAAATATACAACATGATTTCTTTAATTAGATTTGTTATGGATGGTTTTATTGTATTGACTCAACTTGGATTTTGTTGTGTTTATTTTGTTTTTGTACCAGCAAGTATAAAACAAGTTGTAGATTATTATTCAACAAATAGTCCAACAATACATATTTATCAATTGATTATGCTTGTACTTGTTATTGGATTTTCAATGATAAGAAGTTTAAAAGTACTTGCACCATTTTCACTTATTGCTAATATAATTAGTATTGGAGGTAACGACCAAATTCCAAGAGAATCTAATTTAACATATATTTAATTTCTTTGTAGGATTGTGTATTATCATGCAATACGTTGTACGTTCACATTTACCACTTGATCAATTACCTTTAATAACAAAGCCAGCAGATTGGCCAGTATTCTTTGCATCAGCAATGTACGTATTTGAAGGAATTGCTTTAGTATGTAATTATAAAATATTTAAGAGATAGATAGATTTTCATATTGAATTATTTTAGGTTTTACCAATTCGACAAAAAATGAAAGAACCTGAAGCTTATGGTGGTTGGAATGGAGTATTGAATACAGGCATTTATCTTGTAACTATATTGTATTTTTCTGTTGGATTTTTTGGATATATTCGATATGGTTCAAATGCACTTGGATCAATTACTTTGAATTTACCCAATGATAATAAGTAGATAATTCATTTTTCTTATTATTATTCTATATTGATTATATATGAATAGATTATATCAATTTACAAAAGTTATGTATGCAATAGCAATTTTTTTAACATATAATCTTCAATTTTATGTTCCATTTACACTTCTTTGGCCACGTATTTGTCGAAGAATTCTTTATAAATATAGTGAAAAGGCAAAAGCAAAATTTGAACATGTTTTTCGTATCGGACTTATTGTTATTACTTGTAAGTTGAAATACATAAACAGATAATAATAGAATTTACGAGTATTAAGAGTGTAGTACAAACTCGAGACTTTCAATATTTAACCTATTTAAGCACTTACATTTTATCAGCGGTAGGATTATACGACTCTACTTTTATATCGTGATGTAACCATTCAAAATAAAGACTTTTTCGTTTTTTATTTTAGTCGCTGTTGCTGCATTAATTCCAAATCTTGGTCTTGTTATTTCTTTAGGTCTATTTCTTTCTATTCTATTTGCATAGCAGCAATTTTTCTTTTATTTTAGTCGGTGCAGTAGCATCAACTGCCTTGTCAGTTATATTTCCTCCCATATGTGAAACTATAACATTTTGGCCAAATGGTCTTGGTCGATTTAAATGGCAATTAATATTAAATATATTTATTGTTCTATTTGGTCTCTATGTCTTTGTTGCTGGTACATCACTTAGTCTGTCAAATATAATTGCTTGTATTCGTGAAGGTGCTCGATGTGATGATTAAAGTTCTGCAGATATTATTATTATTATTCCTGCGTTCTGATAACAAATTGATTTATATAGTTTTTTAATTTGATTCTTTTTTTTTGTGCTAAGCATATCAAAACGAAATGAACTATTTTTTTGTGATAAAGTGCAATAGATAAACGTTCTTTTTTTTAAAATCCGATTGATGTAATAAAAAACAATGAAACTAAGATATTTTATTGATAAAAAACTGTATTTTTTATTATTATTGTAGATTTTTTAAAGATGACTAGTTGGTTTACATCGGCTATTCAAACAGTTCGTGATAAAGTAAGATACTCGATTTAATACAAGAAGAAAATTTATATTGATATCTTGTTATAGTCGGCTGATGCATTAGAATTTGTACGTAAGGATTTAACAGAATTCACAACAACTGTTAAAAGTGATACTGAAACTTATATACATAAAATCAAAACTCAAGAAGTATGTTTTTAATATCAATGAATTATTATATAAAATTTACTAGTTTAGGTTGGAGATCTTGGTATTAATCGATTTGTGTCAAAATTAAGTGGTGCTAATAAAACAGATGATGACAATGGAAAATATATTAATGCATCACCATCATTCGATCGAGTTCAAGTAATATAAGCTTTATTGATGTATTATCGTGCACAACAGAAATAACTTGACTGACAAATATATTATATTCTTAGTCGTACTCTAATGTTAAACAAAATCTAGAACACCTATCCTTGTAGTGAAAGATGTATGATTCAAGTTTTATCGAGAATTATTTTTTCCGCTGCCATATTGCATGTGTTGACTGATAGTTCTATATAGTTTAAACATAAGAAAAGAGTTAAATAAAAATAATATGAATGTCTAGAAAAATTGAAGACATAGAAATCCAATATCCGAAAAAAGTGATAGCACGAACTATGATTAATCTATAATCTTAATTTAGAATGAATTAACTCGATTACAAAATGATGAATCAACATATTTAACTGATCCAAGTCAAACAGAAGCATATGAAGCTTGGCGTGAAACAAGTAATTTTAATGATGAAACACGCAAAGGAGAAATAGCTCAATTATTAATTGATGCTCCACATGTTCGTTCATTTTATTCACATCTTGTACCTGCACAAACGACACATGTCGATTTTTGGTCTCGCTATTATTTTCGATTACATCAACTTGAAGAAGAAGAAGCAAGACGAACACAATTATTACGACGTGCACACGAAATTTGTTCAGAGAATAACGATAATAATGAAGAAAATAATGCTAATGATTGGGATGAACCTGGTAAAAATTAATCAAATATATGTAGTATATATTTATTTACTTTTGTTTTGTTTAGATGAGATTTCATTAGAAGAGCCAGCAAGTATAACTCAAGAATCCAAAACAGAAATTATACCTGTCGAACATCATGAAGAACAGCAGCAACAACAACAAGAATTAACACAAAGTGATTCATCATTTGAGAAAACAAATAATGAACGAAGTGGTAGCGATACAGGTAAAGAGATTAATTTAAAAAATAGAATATAAATATTGAAATTTAGTTACAGGTGATAGTTGGGAACGTGAATTTGATGAAACAGATGTTGCTTCATCATCTATTCCACCAACAACCAATACAGATGCATTAACTGAATCAGCAGAAACAGTTACGCCTGAAATTGTATCGTCATCAACAATAACAACAACAGAACCAACAACGGTAGCACCATCATCAGAATCTTCATCAATGGATAAGAAAAAAGGAAATGAATTTGATGATGAGTGGGAATCATGGTCATAACTTTCATATGCTTTTTGTTTTATGCTGTAGATATATATATACATATTATGATCATTTTATACTAATAATCTTAACAGAAAAAAAGGTGTTCATTATTAAAAGTAATCTTTTTACAAATGTAACTGCACTGTTTCTTTGCGTTCTATTTTTTTTTCAATAAAATATTCATTTATCATGAAAACAAGTATTTTTGAATACATATAGTGGAAGACATTATTCTGCTTGATAGACAACGCAACAATTATGGCTTTATGTTTCAATGA